GTTTTTCTACCACACTTTTTTTACTTCCACTAAATTTTCCATTGATGTAGTACAAAGCTCTCTGTTCAGCTTACACTCACATCATATAATCTATTCCTTGAACTACTGAGTTTTGGATGTTCATTAACAAACACATGAAACATTTCACTGTCTGTGCAAAATGAGCAATAAGAGTAAAATGTAATCAGTTCAAACCATAAATCTGTTCATCTTTTTTACTTTTAGTGGGAGTGAAATTTAAAAACGAAAGTGAAGATTTAACCTCATAAAATAAAAAAATCAGTCTGTGACTTTTCATCAAGTTAAAGGTCAGTTTCTGCAAAGAAAAGGGCTCAAAAGATTTCACTCTTAGAAATCTGCAACTTTTAGTCGTCGTTCAACGACTAACACCAAATATTTAAAACACTATTAACAAAAACAGAAGGTTTTATTGTAATGCAGTTAGTTTATATGTCACAGCAGGTAACTTACCTTTAAATGCTGACTAAATAATAAAACATTTTAAACAAGTTATAGTGGAATGTTGGCAAAATTGTATTTCCATACAATTATAAATGACTGAAAAGAGCAATAAATTAGAGTATAATTTACATACCAGATGACATGTTAAGGTTTTAAAAGGTGAGAATTTATCTGCATATGTGAAAAGTTTGTGAAGTGAAAATTGTGTTATTTCTTTTAACAATTCTATTTAAATATTTTACTCATTTAACCATATTAGTATTGCTCAGCCTTATAAAGTATGTAGGCCAAGAACCAGTTAGATAGGTTTCCTCTCTGTACAGCAGTTGCAGCTGACTGATGAGTGGACTAATGTCTCACCACAAGTACCAAAGCATGGCGCCAGTGTTTAACAGATAACAACAGATAGTTTAGGTAAACAGTAAGATGAAATGAGCCCTAAAGTCAAACAAATTTCTCAACTGAATGTCACAAGCTCAGAGTACGTACAAGGTCTGACAATGTTTTGGGTATGGAAAATTGTTCCATTAGCATCCTGATTTTTTGAAACTCACATATTTTGAAGAAGAAGAAGTTTATCATCTAAATAATTAATTGACCTTTCAGTAAGGAAGAGGTTGCATCCTGTCCATCCTGTGGCTACATGACTGCAGTAAACCTGTTCAACTGGAATTGACTCTGAGCCAAAGGAGTGACCATGTTGTGTAAAGAATCCTATATATTGTGAGAGAGCTTGCAGCTCCAAGTCAGAACTCATTGCAGGTACAGCTGCTGTGGTTTGCAAATGACAGAAATAAAAAATTTTACTCTTTGCTATTTGCCAGAGTCTCAAGCCTAATCTGTTGTCACACAGATTAGATTTTTTTTTTCACAAGTTATGGTTTGAAATTTCTAAAAGGTATTTTAAATATTCCTATTTATTTTTTTATTAAGAAGCAACAAACTCATTTAGCTGAAAACAAACTTTAAAACATTTAATTGAAGAAAAGTTTCCGGTAAATAACGGCTGGTTTTGTTAATCCAAAGTTTCAGAAACACACAGCGTCAACAGCAACAATCAAAATACATTTGGTAGATTTTATGTAGTTAATTGTTAAAGCTAGCTTAAATATTGACTAAGGCTAAAGTACACATTAGCTTTAGCCATAATTAGCTTGTAATGTATGCTAATGTAAATTCTAGCTGGAGTTTTTATGCTAAAACTGCCCTCATCTTGCTAGATATACCATGCTAACTTATGTTAACATGCTAACTTATGTTAGCATCCTAACATGCAATGGTTAGCTGAGTCCAGGTGTGGCATACTAATCCCACTGTTTAATAGCTGTTTTTTTTTGTAAAGGCTAATAGTAGGTAGCGTAGCCATTAGCATTATATCAGTGTTATTAGCTAGTGAACATGTTTTGCTGCAGCGCTAGATGAGTTTTCAGTGTGTTAACATCCATCCATCCATCCATCCATCTTCTGCCACTTATCCGGGGTCAGGTCGTGGGGGTAGCAGCTTAAGAAGGGAGGCCCAGACTTCCCTCTCCCCAGCCACTTCCTCCAACTCCGGCGGGGGAATCCCAAGACGTTCCCAAGCCAGCAGAGAGACGTAATCCCTCCAGTGTGTCCTGGGTCTTCCCCGGGGCCTCTTCCCGGTGGGACGTGCCCGAAACACCTCACCAGGGAGGCGTCCAGGAGGCATCCTGACCAGATGCCTGAGCCTCAACTGGCGCCTCTCCATGTGGAGGAGCAGCGGCTCTACTCTGAATCCCTCCTGGATGACTGAGCTTCTCACCCTATCTCTAAGGGAGAGCCCAGCCACCCTACGGAGGAAACCATTTTTTCGGTCATTACCGAAAGCTCATGATTATAGATGAGGGTAGGAACGTAGATCGACCGGTAAATCGAGAGCTTCGCTTTTTGACTCAGCTCTCTCTTCACCACGACGGAGCGGTACAGCACCGCTTCACCGCGGACGCTGCACCAATCCGCCTGTCGATCTCCCGCTCCCTTTTTCCCTCATTCGTGAACAAGATCCCGAGATATTTGTACTCCTCCACTTGGGCAGGACATCTCCCTCGACCCGGAGAAGGCACTCTACCCTTTTCTGACTCAAGACCATGGTCTCAGACTTGGAGGAACTGATCCTCATCCTGGCCACTTCACACTCGGCTGCGAACCGCTCCAACAAGTGCTGGAGCTCACGTCCCGATGAAGCCAATAGGACCACATCATCCGCAAAAAGCACAGATGCAATCCAAAAGCCACCAAAACAGATCCCCTCAACACCCTGGCTGCGCCTAGAAATTCTGTCCATAAAAGTAATGAACAGAATCGGTGACAAAGGGCAGCCCTGGCGGAGTCCAACCCTCACTGGGAACGAGCCCGACTTATTGCCGGCAATGCGGACCAGACTGTGATACGGGCAATACAGGGACCTGACAGCCCGTATCAAAGGGCCCGATACCCTATACTCCCGGAGAACCCCCCACAGGGCACCCTGAGGGACACGGTCAAACGCCTTCTCCATGTCCACAAAGCACATGTAGACTGGTTGGGCGAACTCCCATGCACCCTCCAGGACCCTGCTGAGGGTGTAGAGCTGGTCCAGTGTTCCGCGACCAGGACGAAAACCACACTGCTCCTCCAGAATCTGCGGATCGACTATCCAACGGACCCTCCTCCCCAGGACCCCCGAATAGACCTTGCCAGGGAGGCTTAAGAGTGAGACCCCTCTATAATTGGAGCACACCCTCCGACCCCCCTTTTTGAACAGGGGGACCACCACCCCAGTACTGCCCCCGATGTCTATGCGATACTGCAGAGTCGCATTAACCAACACAAACCTACAACATCCACAGCCTTAAGAAACTCCGGGTGTATCTCATCCACCCCCGGGTCCTGGCCACTGAGGAGCTTTTTAACTACCTCAGCAACCTTGTCCCCAGAGATTGGAAAGCCTGACCCAGAGTCCCCGGGGTCAGCTTCCTCAATGGAAGGCATGTCGGGGGATTGAGGAAGTCTTCAAATTACTCCGCCCACTGACCCACAACGTCCCGAGTCAAGGTCAGCAGCACCCCACCCCACTATAAAAAGTTTTGGTGCTGTACTGCTTTCCCCTCCTGAGATATCAGATGGTGGACCAGAATCGCCTCAAAACCATACGGAAGTCTTTCTCCATGGCCACTCCGAACTCCTCCCACGCCCGAGTTTTTAACTCAGCAACCACCAGAGCCGCAAGCCGCAAGCCGCTTCGCCCGCCGGTTCCCATCAGCTGCTTCTGGAGCCCCACAGGCCAAAAAGGTCCAATAGGACTCCTTCTTCATCCTGACAGCATCCCTCACCGAAGGTGTCCACCAACGGGTTTGAGGGTTGCCACCATGACAGGGACCGACAACCTTGCGACAACAGCTCGCAAGGTTGCCGCCTCGAAAATGGAGGCACGGAACATGGTCCACTCAGACTCAATGTCCCCTGCCTCCCGCGGGACGTGTTTGAAGCTCTGCCGGAAATGGTAGTTAAAGCTCCGTCTCACAGGGGACTCCGCCAGATGTTCACAGCAGACCTTCACAACATGTTTGGGCCTGCCAGGTCTGACCGGCATCCTCCTCCACCACCGGAGCCAACTCACCACCAGATAGTGGTCAGTGGACAGCTCAGCACCTCTCTTCACCCGAGTGTCCAAGACATACGGCCGCAGATCCGACGAAACGATGACAAAATCGATCATCGATCTGCGGCCTACGGTGTCCTGGTGCCAAGTGCACATATGGACACCCTTATGCCTGAACATGGTGTTCGTTATGGACAAACCGTGACGAGCACAGAAGTCCAGCAACAGAACACCACTCGAGTTCAGATCGGAGGGAGCATTCCTCCCAACCAACCCCCTCCAGGTCTCACTGTCATTGCCCACGTGAGCGTTGAAGTCCCCCAGTAGAACGAGGGAGTCTCCAGGAGGGGCACTCTCCAGTACCCCTTCTAAGGACTCCAAAAAAGGTGGGTAGGCTGAACTGTCATTTGGCCCGTAAGCACAAACGACAGTCAGAACCCGTCCCCAAACCCGTAGGCGGAGGGAGGCTACCCTCTCGTTCACCGGGGTAAACCCCAAAGTACAGGCGCTGAGATGGGGAGCAACAAGTATGCCCACCCCTGCTCGACACCTCTGACCGTGGGCAACTCCAGAGTGGAAGTACATCCAGCCCCTCTCAAGGAGACTGGTTCCAGAACCAAAACCATGCGTCGAGGTGAGACCGACTATATCTAGCCGGAACCTCTCAGCCTCACACACCAGCTCCGGCTCCTTCCCCACCAGAGAGGTGACATTCCACGTCCCAAGAGCCAGTTTCTGTAACCGAGGATCGGACCGCCAGGACCCCCTCCCTCGTTTGCCACCCATCACACACTGCACCCGACCCCTGTGGCCCTTCCCATAGGCGGTGAGCCCATTGGAAGTTCAACAGTTCAACTCAACCCAGAAGTTCCTTCAGGAGTTCATGGAAAAGGAAAACAGTTGTCTATAATTTAAAAACCTTTCTTTGTTTCCGTTTCAGTGGTTTGGCGATCTGGTGACGCCGGTGTGGTGGGAGGACGTCTGGCTAAAGGAAGGCTTCGCGCATTTCTTCGAGTACGTCGGCACAGATTTCCTCTTCCCAAAGTGGAACATGGTGAGTGGAGCCAAAGGGTCCAACATCAGTCTGGATCTTCAGGGACACAATCTGACTTTCTGTAACAGTTAAACTACATTTAGCTTCTTTTCAGTCAGTGAGCTGCAGGTCAAAGGAAAATGTAACTTATTTATTTATTTGTGTAACTTGAAGACAATAAACTTAAGTCCTAGATTCAAATTTCCAAACGTAGCATTTGATTTTTAGAAATGCTTGGAATATTTTTATCATTTTTATTTATTTTGGGAATTTTTAAACCAACCTTTAAATAAAAAGCTTTTTTATGAATTTTATATAAAACAAAATAATCAAAACCTCATGTCTGTTTTTACTTTGTGAAACTGAAAAATATCAAATATTAGTAAAAGTAAAATGATCTTTTAATTTTACATTTCTATTAACCTTATATTTAAATTTCTGTTGCTACAAATCTACAAAGACCATCACAGTTTGATAGTTTATGAAACTGAATATTTAAAAATATTCACATTTTCTGCTTAAAAGTATGTTTTACACCAAATCTTAAAAATCAGATTTGTTTAAAAGTTCTACATTTTATAGTACAATTTTATATACTTCAGTTTATGTTTCTTTATTATTAAATATCCACTAAAAATGATTAAACTAAGAGTTTCAGCTTAAATACTTATATTCATCCTCAAGTATTGCAGTTTTTTAAATATTTTTATAATGTAAAAATACAAAATAGGGTTTGTTTGTTTTTTAAATCAATAATTTTTTAAAGTTTCTTGTTGGAGGAGTGAAACAAAACGTCCACCTCAGCTCTTTGAAGATGTCTGGAATCCTCTGGGTGAATAAACGTGAATGAAGGTGAAATATTTCTCCACCTGCAGCATAAACTTTCTCGTCCTTTACTGTGTAAAATGTGACTAAATTTAAGGCTGAAGTTAAAAGGTGAAGCTCTGCGGATCCAAGGATCAATATCTGCTTTCCTGCTGCTCAGCAGATATTATTCAGCTGCAGCGGTTCTGCTCTATTGTTTCGCTCACGTTGCCAAACAAATATGCAGAGAATAATGGGACTAAGCCCGGCTAAATTAAAATGTAATTCCTCGTCAGATTTGCTCCAGACGAGGCGGATCTGGTTAAAAACGTCTTCAGCTCTGAGCTGCAGATCTTTAAATTACAGCAAATGGACTCCTTTGTTTCTGCTGAAGAGCAGCGTTATTTACCTCCACTACTGACTGGACTGAGGAGGCTTATCAGCTGCAGGCACACGGCCTGCTGCAGCTGCAGGCACACGGCCCGCTGCAGCTGCAGGCACACGGCCCGCTGCAGCTGCAGGCACACGGCCCGCTGCAGCTGCAGGCACACGGCCCGCTGCAGCTGCAGGCACACGGCCCGCTGCAGCTGCAGGCACACGGCCCGCTGCAGCTGCAGGCACACGGCCCGCTGCAGCTGCAGGCACACGGCCCGCTGCAGCTGCAGGCACACGGCCTGCTGCAGCTGCTGCAGCCGCCGCCGCCACAGCAGCTGCAGCATTTTAAATCCCGGCTCATCCACTTCCACTCGGACAAACGCTTTAAAATAAAACGGCAGCAGACTGAACAGCAAGCAAAGAAATAGCAATCCCTCCAGGGAAGGCCGTATATGAAATATAAAATACATTTTAACATGAGTTATCTTTCAGTAGTTAAAGAGCAAAATGATTCAAACTTTTGGAGATTGATCCAATATTAATATCTGTATTGGTTCCAATATTTAAGAACCTTCTACAGGTACAGATCAATACAAAGACCTCATGTGATGTCACATTTCTGTGAACTTTGTGACTGACGGCCATCTTGGTAGGCAGTTGCTATGACAACAATAAAACCAGCTCTCACCTCGTTCCTCAACAACCTATAAACTATAGAAGTACATTACAGATATCTGAGTACTCTGTGTAAAGCCAATATCAGAGATATTTATCAGAGATATTTACTGTTTTGCTTACTGGAGCAAGTCCAGAGCCTTGAGGGACACCAGAAGTGATGGATGTTCAGCTTATGAAGATTTTCCAAAGTGTTTTGAATTCAAGAAACACAAAAGATGAGATTTTTACCTGAAAGCATCAAATCGTTTGAGGAAATGTCTGAACTGCTCACCTGCTGGTGAAGCCACGCCTCCCGTCGCCGTGGAGTGATGATGAAAGTGTTGCTGTGGCGCAGGGAGCGATGTGCTACCAAACGAGTTTAAACGGCTCCGAGGAGGAGGAGGAGGAGGAGGAGGACAGGCGGACAGGAGGAGTGGCGCTCTGGAAGTGATGGAGGATCAGCAGACGGTTTAAAGTTCACCAGCTGCTCCTGAACGCAGCATCTGTGTCTGTACTGGCTCAGTTTGGGTCCATCTGGTCATTATGAAGCAGCTGAAGTCCCGTTTTCACCTCTCCAGGTGATATACAGTCTCAGTTCATCAGAGCTGATGTCTCATTTAGTCTGATTCTCTGCTCTATTCCTCGTCCTGCTTTCATCCAAATGTCCAATTTAACTGATGGACTAATTGTGTGATTTGTGCTGGAAGCCGACCAGTGTGCCTTTTCCTTCGCTGTGTTTGTGCCGATCTACTGAACGAAGGCGATAATCAGATCCATCTCCTGTTTAAACAGCTAGAAAATCCAGGAATTAGTCCGATCCGACTGTCCCTTTGGTCCTGAAAGGATTCCTGGAAACTAATTTATCTCTCAGACAAACACAGTTGGTTTCTGCTCAAATCAAAGCTTCTGGAAAAATAGAGGCTTTGATTCACAGAATAACCATAGCCACTGACTATTAGAGGAAAACATCGAATTTACTTTGTAGGAAAGTTTATAAAAACCCTCCTTTAAAGAGCGATTCACCAGGAAATGGTAGCAGGACGTAGCGAATGAACCGGGTGGAAATAAAACATCAGGAATCGTTCAGCAGAGAAACAGTCGGAGGATTTTATCAGGTTTGAAATTTGAGTCACAAAACAAATAAATCTGCTGGAGTTTCTTCATCTGAGCATTTTATCACGAAAATAAACAACAAACATGAATAAAAACTAAATAAAGTGATAAAAAGGTCCAACATCAACATAAAAGGAGTAGAAAGAAGCATAATCTGATTTAAATCCACTCTGTTATTTTCTTCTGTTTGGGAAACAATCAGATTTTATTAGATTTGTATTTTCAGTCAAGACAAAATAAAAACGTAAAAAAGTGAAGAAATGAAAGTGAAAATCATCATTTAGATTAAAGTCGGCTCACGTCTCATTCAGGTTCATTCACTTCAGGAATTACACAGATCCACCGTAAACCAGGAATTAGACTCGTTCCTGTCGATGCTGCTGATCTACACAAGCTTCTCTTCTTCATCTTCATCTTCCTCGCGATGTAAAGCTGCTCGCATCAGCATTTCTTTACACAATGGATAATCATTTTAAACCTCGGTAAACACTGTAATCCATAAATTAGACGGAGCCGCCTCTGTCTAGATTTAGCCTGATCCCGGGGTAAAGAACGCTGAGCTCGTTAAAGCTGGACATGTTGGCGGAAATCAATTAAAAACGCGAGGAAAGAGAAGCGGCAAAAAATAAAGGATTAAAATATAATTTAAACTTTCTGTGGAATTACAAAATAAAAGATCAAATAAAACACTTTAAATTAAATGTATAAAACTTTAGAAGTCACAACAAAACAAACGGATAATAAAAGATTAACTACTAATCACCAAAATAAGCCTTTAATTTCCAGATAAATTGGTTTACATGAATAAGAACTTGTTGATTCATTTTAATGTAAAAATGAAAGAAAATCTTAAAATCCTATTAAAGTTTTTTATTTAAAATCAGAACTTGTTACGTTTTGCTTTAAATGAGCCACTAATCAGATTAGTCTCATAACTTTTCAATAATATTAATTCAATAGAGGACGACCCCTGACCTCTGACCTCTGCAAGGAGCTAAAGAGCAAAAGTGAATTAAAAATCAGCCAATTATGAAGAATTATTCCCTCCTAATGTTAACCCAAATTATCTCATATTTAGCTGTTCTGAGATGTTTTGGGTTTACTTTGACTAAGCCCTTTCCAACTGAAGTGGGCAGGAGAGACGGTGGGGATCAAAACGTGATAAATAAAGGTCACACTGCACGCTGTAAACATGTTGTTAGAGTTTAGCTTTGGCCGGTTTGGATGGTTGATTTGTTTGGTTTGTTGAGGATGACGCCGCCGGTCTCTCCGTCGCTCAGTAGAAACCCTGAAACGTCTCGACCGGGTCGGTTCTGCGTTGTGTTTCCAGGAGAAGCAGCGGTTCCTGACCGATGTCCTCCACGAGGTGATGCTGCTGGACGGACTCAGCTCCTCCCATCCCATCTCTCAGGAGGTGGAGCAGGCGACGGACATCGACCGCGTCTTCGACTGGATCGCCTACAAGAAGGTAGACGGTTCTCTGCAGCTTCTGCAGAACTTCCTCAGTTTTTCAAACCCAACATCAAATGCATCAGTGAGTTTCCCTCAGAGCCAAGAAGTTCTGTTTGAGTGAGCCCGTTTGGGCCGAGCGCACCAGAGATCCAAACCAACCTGGTTTGATTGAAACACAATAAAACCAGAAGCAAGTTTTTGATTTAGTTACTTACAGATTCTGAACGTGTTGAAGGCAGGATGTTAAAATCAAAACAAAATGAAGGAGATCTTTGAGGGAGAAAGTGAGAAACAGGCTGCCGGTCCAGACGACCCGTTCACACCGGACCCGTTCAGTCCAACTCCAGTCCGTTCGTCCAGAGAGTTGAGTTGGGTTGGTGAGGTGTGAATGAACTCTGGTTCTCCTACCAATTAGATGATCTGATGAGTGAGCTTTGCCTCTGCCTGCTGTTCCTGTGCGCTGTCTGCAGGGGGCGGCGCTGATCCGGATGCTGGCGAACGTGATGGGGCAGCCGCTGTTCCAGAAGGGACTCAACGTAAGTGCTGGTCTCTTTCTGGAGGTTTCAACGTTTGAACCGACAGCCGGTTGGTGGCTTTGAAGTGTTCTTAAGAGATTTGTCACCGAGTCAAGCTGAAGGTTTCAGACAGACGATCTGAGCAGAGTCGGCAATAAGCCATATTTTAGAAACACTCTTACCGTTAAGAGCTTATGGTAATTGTAGGGTTCAGCTGCGGAGGCAGTTTGTCTCTTTGTAAAAGCCTTTTGGTTTGAGTTAAAGCGTTTTACATGTTTCCTTCTTTCTGAAAGAAGCTCAAGCAGATCGAAGGAGGACATCGTGTGTTTAGTCTGTCGGACGAGGCTTGGTCCAGACTTCCATCAGTCGGGGGAAATGTTTTTATTCTGCTTCCACTTATTCCCAGAAATTTGAGGAATTACCTTCTGAATGAAAATTAATCTTTTCAATGGCACAATAAAGCCTGCTCTGGTCTCTGTGCTCAACTCATTTATGGAGAAGCCTGAGATTTTTGCAAATCAAAAATCAGTCGGGTAAAATAATCTGCAGAAACAATCAGTTATGTTTCTGAATTAGTGTCACACAAAGGACCATAAAATGTACTGAAGTAAGAGCAGCACTGCTTCGACATACTTCTACTCAAGTAGATGTAAATAATCGTTTGCTTAGAATCTGCCTGGTTTGGTTGGAAAGATGCTGGAGTAGGGGATAATAATCACTACACATGAACTTCCTGCTTCTCTCTGCTCTGCATCCATGAAAACTCATTTTTTTAAACCAAAGAAAGACTCTGTATGTTTTGATGATTCATATTTCCTTCCAAAGAACACTGCAAACACTTCTTTTTTGTTTGTTTTTCTCTTTCTGGATAAAAAACAAGAATAATTCAAATATCTTCAAAAAAACATGAAAGGCTCTGAAAATAAGCTGCTGATTCTGCAGCAGTCACACATTAATAAGTAAATCCTCAGTAAAAAGATCATATTCCTGGGATGATGTTTTTATTTTCTTTACTGAGTTCAAAGACAGAATCAGCCGCTGGCTGAAAAATGGATCAAAGAGGAAGCTGGGAGGAGTTTAGTGACAGAAATAACTTTTGATAAAGTTTGATTTTGCAGCAGATAAGTATCCAAAGAATGCTTGGAGACCCATGAGTCTCGTTTGTGCATCAGCCACTTCATTATGGACAAACTCCGGCCAGTAAAATGGAGGCCAGCCGCTACGCCTACATTTATTTTACATCCAGAAATTGTTTATTTTTATCCCTAAACCTGGACTCAGATCACAGCGAAGTTCCGTAAAATGTTATTTAATGCACCCTGAAGACTGTTGCTTATTTTTATTTGCTCTAAATAAACAAGGAAATGTTTTGTTCATCTTCACACAGGATAAATACTGAGGCAGAAATTTAGGTGACCCAGAACTTTCAGGAAACCAGGTTAGATATAAACGCTGCTGATTCCCAGGCAAGAAGCTTCTGCGCCTATAAAAGGTAAATAAGACAATAAAAACAAACAACGAGGCTTTTTACAGCGCGGCAACACAACCTGAAATTATTTTATAAATACCAGGGGAAATATTTCAGATGATCCAAACCAGGCTGAATATTAAATTCAATTTTCCAGGGATGATTTCATTAATGAAGGAAGAAAAGATATAAAACTTAACACAGAGTTTGATCCACTCTGCTTTACTGAATTGTTTCACTTATACTTGAGAAATGAAGGCTGGAAAAATCAGATCTTTACTTGAAAAATGGAAAAATTAAATAAACACCCAGAGGCGGGAACTTTTGAAACTAACGTTTTATTAGCAAACTGTATTAAAAAGTTAACCCTAAAGCATCGCCATGAGCATTAGCAGTGTTAGCATTAGCATCTTGAAGAAGCTATTGCTAACGTGCTAACTTCAGCTCAGCCTCCATCTTCAGCGACTGCAACCTTAAAGCATCAGTTTAATTTCCATAAGTTCAATAAACTCCTTATCTGGTTTCTACTGTTTGTTTCTCATTTGAAATAAAGAATAAATGAAGAAAAGAGAGACAGGAAATTAAACTCTGTCTTCACCCACTTCAAAGTAAGAGCATGAATGGAAACGGCTAACTCATAACGGTCGACAACCAAAACGTATTCAACTGAAGGTTTACGAAACAGCTGAGTAAGTTAGAACTTTAGATTTAATTTTGGGGTAATTGTTTTCAATGTTAGCTAAAGCTAAACAAGAAAAACTAGCTCTGCTTTTAGCGGAAATGTGCAAACACATATTAGCGCCTGGTGCAAAATGGTTGAGAAGATCTTTAAAAATGACACAAAAAATATGCAAAAATCATCAAATCTATTTAATAGAAACAACAATGGCCAAAAACAAAGAATGAAATGTTACAAATGAGGAAAACAAACAAAATTCTTCTATTCTGACATACGGTCCTTTCTTCAATTATTTCCTAACCTTTACTTCTGTAAAGGTTCAAAGCATTCAGAGCTTTAATTTGCTGCATCGATATTCCATCCTCTGCGTCCGTCTGTCCGTCAGAAGCAGGTGATGTTGGGATGTGAATCAACCTGTCGATACTCTGAAGACGGGAGGGAAGTGGCAGCTGAAATGTTTGCGTGCTGACAGAAATCCTTCGAAAAGGAAAACAAGACCTCATTAACAGGCTGTGAAGCTGTAACGACTCCACCGTGAATCTGACACCTTTATTTTCACTTTCGCTGCAGACAGATTCTCCTAATGAGATTCCTGCAGCCATATTTATCACCGGCTGCTTGTTTGCCTTTAAATGTGTTTGTGTTGGACCGGCGCCGCGTTCTCTACATCTGTTCCTGTCAGTAAAGGTGTCGGAAGAGGCGAGCTGTTCCCGCCTCATCCGGGTTCTGGTACCGAGCAGCTCACCACCGGTCCCGGTTCTGCCGAATCTCCTGCCACTTCCTGCCTGTCTGTTTGTGTGATCATGATCTCATCCAAACCTCTCACTTCGCTAAGCTTTCACGATCCTCTGCCACGACGACGAGCGAGAAACCCAAACCCGGCTGCGAGACGCGCAGCGGGTCACAGCTTGTTCATCAGCCCAAAGCTCTTAAAGCTCCTCACACCGCCAGATTAAAAATTAAACTCTTCTGTTCGCACATGTTTTCTATCTAAAAGCTTTTCACTGTTCACCACGAATCCACTCACAGATACCGTTCACCATTTACACTTCGTTTCAAATAACAGGAAAGTTGCGCGGATTTCCCGTCCGCTGGTCATCTTCTGATCGGGTAACAAAGGTATCGGATCCATGCGAAGATAGTTTATCAAAATCAAACCTTGACCTTATTGTCAGGACTGGGAGAAAGTTTTCCAAAAACTGTATTTGTGTTTGTGTAGGTAAAACAGTTTTTATTGTCACTTTTACTGTTATCATAACAGGAACACAAAATATTGATATTTAAGTTCATATTGTCAGTTTTTGTATGAATTAGCTGAAATTAGAGCTCTATAATTTCCCTGATGGCATCGAGGACTTTAGTAACTAAATGTAATAATCCATAATATGTGTCACAGTGGAAGCCATGTTGGCTTCTCCACAAAAGCTACATTATCATAAAAACATTCAGGGTTTTAGACTTTCTTACTGTTTAAATATAAGTAAGTAAATAAATATCTGGGCTTTTGTTTTTACGCTGTTTTTAAATATTTTTACTGAAAAACATTAAATGAGTGACAGAAAATAATCAGTGAGATTTTAACCTCCATTATTTTTGCTAGTAAACAGCGCTAAACTTGCGCTAAACTTGCGCTAAACTTGCTAGTAGTTTAGCGCTGTCATGGTTGCTAGGCAACAAATTTCGCCCAACGTAAAATCGGGACTAGACTCTCTGCTGCCCCCAACAGGACAGATGCGTAAAAACCTGGCATTTTCTGCACGTGGATTGACCCTAAATTGACTTCCTCTGGCCAGTAGAGGGAGCTGTCGGCGTGTTCTGTTCAGCAGCTCTTGGTTGAAGAAGAAGCGGATTTCATTCAGCTGCTTTGTTCTCTGTTCATTTTGATGCGGCAGAAATGAGACGCTGCTGGTTTTGGTTGTGTTACACAAATCCAAGCAACGAGCGGGAGATTATTAAAACTGGCAGCTCTTTGTTTCTCTGCAGCTCAATGGAAGAGCCTGCAGACGGTGAACAGAGCAGATTTCCTCTAACAGTGAAGTCATAATAAATGAGCTCTGCTGCTTGTGACTTTAACTCGCGCTCAGCTTCACAGCAGAGACTTGTTTGGGAGGCGTCAGCTGCATGAAGATGTCCTGAATACAGCAGCAGCGGTGACAGCCGAGCAAGAGCCAACTTTGATCATCTGGGGGAAAAAACACAGATGAGGAAGAAGTAAATTAGGAAGCTTCCCAGGACTCTGCTGCCTGGGATAAGAAAATGAATCTGCTTTAGTTCAGTGGGACTCATCAATTAAAATTAAGTTTTGGATTAGCCAATGAAAAAAATCAGCGATTTAATCTGGTTCAACTGCTGTTAGGTTTAGGAGAAATGCAAGAACAGCTCCTACTGGTCTCTGCAGAAATGTTGGTTAAAATCTCTTTATACCTTGAAAGGTGTTAATATTTGAATCAGCTTGAGCAACAATCAGATCTTTATTTAGATTTATCTATTTATATCATGTTTTTGTAAGTTAAACAACAAGTGAATTTAAACATAATTCTGTTTCATCAGGATGGACATAAATAATCATAATTAAGATGAGATGAATTCATTAAAGGCCTAAATTTGCTCTTTTTCCAAATATTTTCAGTAAAATTTATAAATAAACTTTAAATTTTACATTTTCAGATGTTGAAAATATAAAAGGTGTTAAAAAAATTCAACACCTTTTCCTTTAAGCACATTTTTTTCCTAATGTGTAAATATGGTATTAGAATAAAGGATAATTTTAAAATGTGATAAAATAAAAGGAATAACAGATTAACAGTTAAATGTGATGTGTTGAACTTTCCTCTCACACCTCAGATTTGACTGGAGCTCATGTGTGAAACTGTATGAACTGTCTTGGATTTGCCCTGTGAAGACTTGAAACTTGGACTCTAATCCCACTGAGGAATTGCCCCTCAGTGGGGGGCAATAGAAAATGGACCTGTTTGTAGACAGGTCCATTTGTCCAGAAACCTCCAGAGTTTGACGTGTCCATGAAAGTCTTGACTGGAGAATTATTTTTGACTCGGCCCTTAGATAGTCCAGACTTTCCTCTCTAAGCCTTGTGAACATCTCTGAGCTCTGTGAGGAAGTGGTTCTGGTTCTGGTCAGAGTCCAGTAGACAAATGTGAGAAACGTCAGACTCAAAGTGCTTGTTGTCTTGGAGACCTGCCATCTTACGTCTCTCTTTGTTTCAGGATTATCTCCTGAGCCACATGTACGGCAACGCAGCCAGAGACGACCTTTGGAGTAAACTGACTCAGGTACGTCTGCCTGTTCTTCTCGTCTTCATTTGGACTTGAGGCTTTCGGGCCTCAGCAGATCGGAGATCAGGCCGACTCCCTGAAGTTGGTCATTATTGAGTCGTTCTAACGAAGGGCGGGGAGATTCTCGCTGACACGGACCTGATGAGATGGAGAAAGTTTGTTTTCTCAACAAGAAGTTTTCAGTGTGATCACCATCGATTTGTTTTTTATTTACTGGAGATGTTGGGTCAACAGGCAGCCAATCAGACATCTGATTTACCTGAAGGTCTCACATCTTGCTCCAATCAGGCGGTTCTGTTTCTGTCCAAAGGCCATGCGCTCAGAGGGGCGGGACATTGACATTGGAGAGATGATGGACAGATGGACTCTACAAATGGGCTACCCTGTCGTCACCGTCAGCAAGAACCAATCAGAGCAGCTGCCAACCCATTACATCACCGTCACCCAGGAGCACTTCCTGTACGGAGAGGAAGTCAGAAACAACCTCAGGTAGCAGCAGAGTCCAAGAGAAATGCTTCATTAGACCTTTTCTAGTGTATTTTTAATCATAAGATGGTGAGTTTTGTATTTTCTTGCCTTGAAACAAAATGTGAAACCAGGTTTTGCTCCATCGGCTCCCAATGATTTCAGGGTTTCTACAGTTTTCTAAAAATGAAAACCATCACAATTTAAATTCTCAATCCCTGCAATTAGAAAAAGATAACATTTTTGTTCTGTGAATATAAATTTCTCGGCTTGAGTTTGAAATCGGAGCGTTGAGGTTTGACTTGGACTCGTGGTCTGAGACTCGAATCTTCCTGCCAGTTTTATCTGACGTTACGGAAATGAAAGGAGGCCATTCTGGTAGCGACAAGCTGCAGCTGCTGCATGTTTCACTGCGAAATGATGAGCTTGATTATTAACCAGTGACATTGGTGGATTATTATGGAATGTTAATGTCTGATAACAATCTGTTCTTGACTTAGTGTGATGTATAATAGTCATTACAAAGTCTGGAAAGCAGAAAGTCAACATTAACAGTTTTCATCTCTTTCTGTCTTTCTTAGAAAATAAATGCCTGCTCATATTTCTGATGTGGTAAATAATCATTTTTAGCATGTGAGTGAAATCCTTAGGGATAAAAAGATAACTCTTAGTAAATATTAACAGATAATTATCAAATTTTCATGCAATAATTTGTTCTAAAAACAGTTTAAGATTCATGTTTTCTGAGTGAAACATGCAGAAAGTGTCAGTGACGTAAATTCATGACTCATCTGCTCCGTTTTAGGATGATCTTTAAATTTTGTGACGCATTCGGCACTAAATTTGTTAATTTGCAATCATGCAGCATTTCCCCCTTTGCCCACTTTCCCTCACCTCCTTTACTGCTTTTCCATCATTTATGCATCATTCATATTTTATTCCCATGATGTTTTATTCACATCCTTGACAATCTTTGGAGTTTATTCTCTTCTGCATTTTATCGACCCACTTTCTCCTGCATTAATACTTCAGCAGTCCTCCTTACCTGTTGTTCACTCCTTCTCTTCTTCTTTCCTTTTTTCTTCCCATAAGGCAGTTTAGTCGCTCCGTCCCGCTCGGCTTCTCGCTGGAAGTTTTCTTTCCTCTCTCGTCTTTTCATCTGCCCTTTGTGTCTCGGTTGGCTGTTGAATTGAAGCCGTCTGTTTCAGGTTTTGCTGATTTTCCAATCTTTGAGTCTGAAACTCGCTTGGTGATCCCAGAGTGTTCCCTCGCCCTTTGGTAAACAAACAGCAACGTTTTGAGCTGCATTCAGAAACGGATTTCCTTTATTCAACCTGTTTGGTTGTGAATACAGCCAAGCTGATGTATGAACCTCAAAAACTGGCTGATGCCCATTCCTCTCATTCCAAGGATGCTCTTAGAGGGGCTTTGATACCACCTAGTGGTATCAAAGCTGTTTTCTTCAACAGTAGTGCCATGACTGCTTCGACTGGTCGTATTAAAACATGTTGAGTTGTATTTAATCTTTGAACTATTATGTTAGGCAGTTAAAAGCATTTTTAAATAATTACACCTATTATTTGTATAGTTTAGGTACATTTGTAGAAATTTAAAGTTTTGTACATGGATTTCAATAATGCAACATTGAATAAAAGAATTACTTTAGATAATCAATTGATAATGATAATAAATAATTCATTATATAAGTCATACCACAATACAATGATTTTACTTACTGTGAAATAATAAAAGCTTTATTTGAAATAACGTAGTGATGGAAACGGCAATTATTGTTCAAGAAAATATTCCAGTTTTATAAATATGACTAAGTGCCTAGTGGTGCTAATTAGCATCGTACCTACATTAATTCAATGTGCTCCTCCTTTTCTGCGTCATATGAAATCCAGGCTGAAAACAGACGTAACTGATGAAGTTTTGTTGCGTCTCTTTTATTTTGGTGGTTAAATGAAGCCTTTATTTGCAGCTCTCAGATTTATAGTCCAATAAATACTGAAACTGTTTCCGCTAAGAACGTTTCGGCTGCGGAGGAAGAGCAAGAGCAGCTTTCTGCGTTTTTGTTGGATTTGTCCAAGGCTTTAGAAACTGTTAAACAGGCTGTTATCTGTGGAGTTTAATGAGCTTCTCCTTCTTCTCCTGGCTTTAAATCACACAAGGCTTTATTCTTCAGACGTTTGTTGCTGATGATTATAGTCCCAGTCAAAGTCCCGTCTCTGCGTAAAGACTCAGAATCAGGCCATATGCTGTTTATTTGCTGTGTGTATTTTTCATGATGTTCATTCATCAGAGCAGCTTGGAAAGTTGCTGCAGAAGAAAAACATGAAGCAAAGTGTAAATTTAGTTCAAATAATGAGGAAAGTTCACCCAGTTCAAACAGTGAAAGAGGGAAACGGTCAACTAGCATTGTTGCTAAAGGTTTCACATCTGCAGTCTCATGCTACTGCAGATGTGAATTTTCTGACATTTCATCAGCTACTAAACATGAGATGGCTAAAAACATTCCACATTCACTCATATCTTTCTGCTTCCTGAAGAAACCAGATGTAAAAACTAAAACAAGGAAAACTCCTGAAGATCAAAATGTGTTTTATGTTGAGACATGGAAACAAAGATGGATGACTTTGCTGGAACATTAATCCTGAAAATGTTCGTCAGGTGATAAAAGGCTGATTTTCTAAACGTCTTTATTTTGGTGAAACTCTGAAGGAAAACATCTGATCATCAGTTCATGACCTTTAGCTGAAACACATTTTGGTGACCCATCAGGACAATGACTCAAATGAAGGTCTAGTCAAAGCATGGACATAAATCAAGCTGAAGGGTTGTGCCTCATGCGCCACTGTGGCTAAATTAAACTTGTTCAGTAAAGAAAATGGAGAAAATGTTTCTGAGTGGCATTAAAGGCATGTTGACGTCGGTCTGCAGGGACACCTGGTTATCAGGTTTAGGGGTCACTTACTTTTGCACCTGGAGTAAAGTTGTTTTAGCTCAAAAATGAACATGTGTGGAAACTGCAACCAGGTTATTTTTGTCTGTTATCAAAATTACCCTCTGAATAAATGTGAAATTGAGTAATTAGTTTTTCGCAGCAGCGTATCTGTAGGTGTGATCTCTGTCACAGCGGTACGAACACGCGTTGTCGCCGTCCGCTTCCGCTCACCTTGGCTGTTAAAAAAAAACATTCACAAGCCGTTTAAAGACTCCCAGCCTGTTTACATTTCATTCAGCATTTCTATGTTTGTTCCTGTTTCCCTCTGGGACGTTTCCGTAGAGACATCTTTCAGTTTGAAACGGCTAAGCTGTTTATAAATAAACATAAATTGAGTGGGGAATTATTCATAACTGTCCTGTTTAGCATTAAAACTCCTAAAATCAACACAGAGGCTCATTCTGTTACCTGTCAGCGGTCTGAGACGAGCTTTAAAGGGGCGCAGGAACAGACAAACATTTTATAACACAAACAAATATATATAAATAAATCCATATAAATCACATATAACTTTGCAGGTAACGCCTTGAAATTGGGCTTCCGTCTCTTTAAGAAATCCTGCCCTTTCTGAAGCTCCGCCTTCAGGAAGTCGTCCCAACATGGCTCCTCTATTCACCGTTTAGCAACGTTTTCACCAGCGATGCTCTGAGCAGCAGCTCCTATAACGAGCTCAGCAGGTGTTTGCTGATTGCTTCTAGCTAGTCTGGAGGAGCCGAAAGGGGGAACTGTGCCTCAAAGTTAGACACAGTTCCCTAACTTTGAGGGAACCCAGCCACTGGAAAAAAATCAACTGTTTTGCTGAAGTTTGTTTTTTAATCTTTGGTTTTAGATTTGTAACATGAATGAGGTTGATATGTGTTTTGGCAGAGGATGAGGAGCAACAGGGGGTTCTGTTATCTGAAGACTTTTGACTGTAAAAATATGCATTGATGGTTTCCTGCTGCTTTTCTTCTTATACATCCAGTTGGTTTCTGGCTTTGATGAATAAACTATAAACTCTGAGGACGAGCGCGCTCATCAATATTAATAAACACATTCTGCTGTCCGTGCTGCTGACTGCATGAGGTTGAGTTCGCTTCTTGTCAGTCACTCTGATATAAATGTAGGATTAAATATTTGGTTGCTTGACCCTCGTATCGATCCTCTGCTGCCTGCGGCGACAAACGGCTGTTATAGGAACGTTGTTTTGGTACAATAACACTCAGAGTGAACGCACTCCGCACCATAAACACACTTTGTAGTGTTTAACTGATGAGAGCGAGTCAAGCTGATTGTATTCAACCTCTAATTAACATCCAGTCTAATTAAAATCTAAATGAGTTTAATTAAAATCTGGGTTTTAGTGGAACTGAGAAGAATCTGTTAAATGCTTTTCTATTGGTGCCATTATTACTCGCGTACAGTAACTGCTCAGAGAGAAAAACCAGTTTGATGATTTTTCTCACACAGCTGGTCTGCAGATGCACAACAAACCCCACTAACACCGAAATGTCTGCAAATATCCCTGAACCTAAAGACTGAAAACAGTTAATGTTGTGGAAGTGAAGTTTTAGTGGCACATAACTCCAAATACTTCATCAGTTTATAGTAAAATACATGGATAATTTTGGTCAACAATGTAGCTTGGGAAGCTAAAACATCTATACGCAATGCTCCATGCAACACAGCCAATCAGGAAGCAGCTTTTATTTTTCTTGCTGCTGATTGGCTGAACACACAGCAGCAGAAATGAGGGACGGTGTGAATGTTAGCGTCTGCCTATTGATGCATAATGCTGAATCAAAAGTTTTATAACTCAAAACTTAAGTCTAGTTATAAAAAGGACAGTCTGCCTGAAAAAATACAAAAACTAAAACCTCATACAGAGAAACTGAATAAAACCAGTGAGAGTTAGTTCATCAAATAAAAATCTCCAAGAATTAGGTGAATTAATGGTTAAAATAATGAAAACTAACTCAAACTTGCCACAAATGAATTAATTTGGTGAAACTGTTTAGCTAGCTGCTAGCATTAAATAAATAAAAGCTAAAGCTAGCTTGGGAGGCCAATTGTTGGCAAGAAAATTAAGAAACGTATTGATTTAGAGCTGATTTAGTGAAATATTTAATGACTAAAATCATTTTCAACCATTTAGAAACTAACATTTTTCTTTGTTTTTCACTAATTTAGCAGCTAATTCTTCTGCACTAAAGCTAGTTATGCTAACTGACAGTGACAACCTGACTCTACCCTTATTTTGAAAAGTTTCTGTTTTTGAAACAAATCCATCACAAAACGCATTAAAGCTTCAACTCACGTCTGCAACTCTTTCAAGTTGCAAACAAAACATTCAGCGTCTCCTATTTTCCTAAACAGCCTTCAATGTAATGGCCAAACCACCGTGTGAGAGGCATTGAGGCAAAAATCCTCATAATGTTCCTTTGTTTTCATCTCTGTGGAGCCAACATTAGAAAAAAGATTATTTTCTTCACGTACCAGCGGTCTAATTCACCTCCACAAAACACTTAGCATGGATGAATCTGTTCAGTTTTTGCTTTTTAACAACAATACAAAATGTTTTCATATTTTGAAGCGCTGCAACTTCAGTATATTCTTATTTTTTGCAAAGAACAAAATAAATCAGTGCGTGATTGTAATGCAAAATGAAGAAAATACGTTGTTTTTTTATTTTTAAAACACTTTCTACTTTAATTAAATAAAAACATTGTACTAGTTTTGCGTCTGCTAAATCAAATGATGTAATTATTAGTCAGTCGGGTCCAGAAGAAGATGGTTCTGGGTCTAGATAGTGCATTATATTTTATACATTTATAAATGCAGCTGTTGGGCTCATTATGCTGCATCGTTTTTCTCTTTGTGTTTCTCAGGTATTATCCTTTCCTTTCTTATAGCTTATTGCTCCTAAACTTCAATATGTACACCGCTTTTGCCTCTTTTAGGACAGAAAATGTTCTTTATTTTAATGCTTTCACCCATTTTTCCAGAAAATATTAAAGTCTCAAAAAACACTTGAACATTCTAGAGCACATTTTGAAAAAAAAGGAGTATTTCCCTTTGAGATCAGTTGAACTGAACAGGTGAGAAGCATTTGGGTTTCAACTGCTTCTAAAAACAGCATCATTCAGCCATTTCTTTTGCAATACGTTTCTTTGGTGTCTGGAAAATGAGCTGTTTCAAAAACCTGCGGAATGAAGGCACTGCATTACCTAGCAACCAAAACTGAAGTCCAGCACATTTGGTCAGCTGGTTTTCAAATTCAATTCACCGTAAACATTGTTGCGACTCATATTAACTCAGATTCTTCAGAGTTGTTGTTGATGGCGATGGTGATGGCTGTTGGCAGGAAAGATTTCCTGTAGCAGTCTGTGTTACTGAAAATCTGAAGAAACATCTGACTGAAGATGCTCTATACGCTGTACAATGGCTGCTGGAAAAAACAAGTGTTTTGTTGCTGACTTACCATCCAGAAAGCTCCTCCTGCTTTTTCATTGGTTGTGCAGAAGGCTCCACTACTGCTTTTCAAAGATTTATGTTTGTATAATTGCACAACAGTTTGCAGCTATTTTCACACGGGAGTGTAAACAAAATAATTTTGAGTATAAAATGTGACGAACATGTCTTGTATCACCAATGAATCTACCCTAACCCACTGAATGAAGTATAACAGATCACTTTTAAAGTTTATTTAACTTCCTAAAGGTGTGAAAGTGCAGAGCTAGCTCTTCCCTGACAGAGACAGCGGCCTCCAGCCGGTTTCTCCTGACTGATATCTGCTGCCTGTGCGGCCGTTAAACCCTCGCTCCGCCGCTGAGGCTGTCGCTCGCCTCATTTCCAACTGACCGATGACCCTCACTCTTTTCACAGGGGCAATAAAACCAGATCCAATCCCGTCGCTAACATCCTTCTCCCCCTCTGCAGTTTACAGTGGCAGGTCCCATTGACCGTCGCCGTGGGAAACGCGTCGGCGGTCCGCCTGGAGAGCCTCATCTGGATCAACAACAGGACAGGTACGGCGCCGCCGGAGACGCCGCCGGAGACGCCGCCGGAGACGCCGCCGGACGTCTGAAACTTTATTTCCACCTGTTGTTGCCGGGAGATAACGAGCTGTTTCCTTGGGAGGATCTGTTAGCGGATCAAACCGGCTCAGCTTCTCAAATTAATTATCTGCTCAGCTCTGTACCTGTGAGCTGCGTCTGCCGGGCTTTAAAGGTTCACAGGTGCAGCGTGTTGCTCTGTTCTCAGGTTTGTAGGCGGAGGGAATAAACATCGTTAAGGTTCCTGTAATTTGGCGTCTGCTTTTTATTCGAAAAAGAAAAATCCTGATTGCTTTTTATCCTTTCATGTTTTTTAAAGCAGCGCTGCTTCTTTTGAAAGGATTACTCTTTTGTTAACAGGTCAGCTTTCTGACCCAAAGATTTGATCAATCGTTTGTTCGCTCTGATTAATCTCCGTCGTCGGTCCCCTCTTTACTTTGACAAACAAAAAGCTTTGAGAATAAACCCCAGTTTGTTTTTTTGTTTTTCTCTTTTCATCATTGTTTCTGCAGAACAAAACCCTCTGGGGGTTCTGTTTTAGTGAATAAAGCTCATTTTATTCCTGTTTTTGAACAAAATGATGTTTGGAGAATTGATCCTGAACTGCTTGGTGTTGGATTTTGGCTCCTGCTGGCTCCGTTCCCCGATAATAAAACACTTGTTTTGCTTCGTAAACGTGAAGCTCGCGCCGGTCGTGTTATTAATGCCTGACAAGGGTAATCTCCATGTCGCCGCTCTGGCACAAATCTGATGCAAGGAGAACGAGGAGTTGGTTTAAATCCAAGAAGAAGAAGAAGAAGTGGGCCAACAGCTGCGTTCTGTTTTTATCACCTGGCTGTTTCTCAAAGTGGGAATCGTCCTACAAGCTGCTTTACTGAAGCTTCAAACCTAATTTCAGAAGGTTGTGCCGGTTTCCTCCTGTGGCCCCGTGATGCTGCTGGTCCACAAACCTACAAAACGTAACAGCTTCATCTGCTGGGCTCAGACTACTTCCTGGAGAGGTTTGATGACGATTAAGCTAAAATGGAAAACCTCTAAGTGTATAAATAAGCCCTTTATTCATTTTACTACCTTTATTAAAGCAATTTTCCAGGCTAAAACATTCCAAGGCAGAAAATCATCAGTGACGATGTCTTTCTAGAGAAGCAGCCGTTAGAGCCAATCAGTCTGGGAAGGGTTAAAACACACAACACTGCAAAAACACAAAGTCTTACCAGGTATTTTTGGTGCCAATATCTTAAAGTGTGATGACAAAGCAAACTTACAAGTAACTTTTCAGGTTGTTTTGAGTCAATAATTCTTTAATATTGATGAAAAACTATTAATTAGAAGTAAAATCTTCCTCTTAAACAAAACTTGTTTCCCATATTTCAAGTTAAAATGTCTCCACTACTTTTTGATCAATATGGAGAATTAATTGACTTAAAATAAGCCAAAGGGTTAATTCTAAGTTTGTTTTGTCTTATTTCAGATCTAATAAGATGTTGCCACCAAAATACTTGGTAGAATTTTGTGTTTTTGCAGTTCTAACCCTGACAAAGTATTTGAAATATTTATCACAACTGGAAGACAAAGACATGTTCAGCCCAGAGAATTGACCAAAAACCCAAAAGCTCCATCTCAGGATTCAGTTAGCAGGTCAGAGGTGAAAGTTCATCAAAGGACAAGTTGGGAAATGACTGAATGGCCGGCATGACCTGTTTGAAAAGGTTGAAGGAGACGCCAATAATCAACTAAAATGACATCAAGATGTCATCAGCATACTGCGTGATAATCCCTCTAAAGCTTAATTTGCAGATCTAATTTGATTTTGTTGCTTAACTCAGAAACCCACAGGATTGGTCAGATGGATGACAGCACCTGGCTGCTGGGAAACATCAACCAGACCGGCTACTTCCGCGTGAACTATGACCTCCAGAACTGGAAACTGCTCATTCAGCAACTCCACAACAATCCTCAGGTAAACCTTCTCTGTTTGTCTGCATTGATTTTTCTGAATGATTTCCAGATCTGATCACCAAATCAACTCAATTCCTGCCGTGTTTCTCCTTTCCAGATCATTTCTGTTGGAAACAGAGCTGGTCTCATCGACGACGCCTTCAACCTGGCCAGGTGAGTCACCTGACCTCAACCAGTTGGGTTGGAAGACCGAGTCGGTCAAAGTATTTCACAATATTGATCAGTTTTATTGATCTCTCTTGTGGCTGAAAGACTTTTTGTGGTCTTATCTCACCTTTGAACTAATCTTCAAGTTTTACCAAGAGATCTACACTTTTATTTGGTAGCGTCGTTTAGCCAACTGACCCCCTGCTACTTAGTTTTACTTGGTTTTTGAGACTCAGCTGACGACTTCTTGATTTTGTGTTGGCACTTAACAATCGTTGGTATTGGACGGATGTTTCTGCTCATTTGTCCATTTTATTGTGCTGCTGGGATTTCTGATTTCTGATCATGTTTTGTCGAAATGACACCAATAGGAAGCAACTATACATCTCCAAAAGACAGCATTTCAATTTTTATACACCAGATAAACAATCAGTCACTGATGAGAAACTGTAGGAAAATTAAACTGCACACAGGTTACAGATTTAAAAACACAATTTAATATCGGTGGGACTTGATGAATCGCTTTTGTTTGAAAACGATATATCCACAAAATAAACAACACTTTCAGCTAAAAAACGATTTTTGCTGGTAAATTATTTCAGAAATAGAGATGTGAGATTAAACCTGTTTAGCATTGACGCTATTTTAGCCTTGAAAGCCAAACTCCTTTTAGCACAACTTGATCACAACAATAGTCTTTTCCAGCGTCCAATCAGATCCTTTAAAATTATTCCCCAGTGGGACCAGAGAATCAGCTTTGTGTCGTTTGTGCGTCACATTTATAGACGTACCAGAAACAAGTACAAAGGTTCCATCTTTGGACTTATGAATGTTTAAAAAGGAAAAAACATTATTAACATTTTTAACACGTTGAAAACAGTATAAATAATTAATCAAAAATAAACATGTTAAAGTCCTTGTCCAACAATATACATTTACATAATTATATTAATTGTTTATTTCTCATACGTACAGCAGGATTTCAGCTCCTTACAACCAGCTTCTTCAGCAGTGACTGTGTGCTGGGCAACTATCAAGTCAGCAGCTTTTTCCATGACTTTACAGGCACAGAAACGTAAAATACAGTTTTATTGGTGTGAGCTAAACCAGTTTTCTGACCCATTGGGTTCTCCTCAGCTGTAAACCATAATCATCAACGTTTCTCAGGAAATAACTGCTTGAAAAACATCAGGACGTGTAATGAAACTGAAAAAGTGAATTTGTCATCTTGAATTGGATTCTTGAAATATAGAAACTTTTCACTGACTTACCTAACAGACCTTCTGTTTTCAATATAGAGCTTATATATATAGAAATTACTGAAATGTAGTACGGCTGAAACAATTAATTGGATTAATCGATTGCTAAAAATAATTGCCAATTAATTTAGTAATCGATTAATTCTTAACTTGAGTATTCAGACTAAAAAAAAACAAACTGGATAGTCAGTGTAGAAATTAATCCAAAACTGGACAAAACATATAAACTTTTAGAATTGAAGGTGAAAAACTTTTTGTCTGTAAATATGTTCAAGCTGGAACTCCTTAGGTGGCATTTTTAGCTTCACTTGGTTCAAATTCTGTAAAAACATTAAACTGTAAAAAACTAAGTCTAATAAAATGAATCAGTTTTTTTTACATATTTACTAAAATTGTCACCATGTTCTAACAAAATGAGAGATGAAAAAAATCAAGTTTCTAGAGCTTTTATAGCAATCTGCAAAAATGCACCGCTTCTCATTAAAAACAACCAATCAGAGTCAGAAAGAGGGTCTTAGCGCTGTCAATCAAGCTCATGTACTTGCTGAGAAACAATTAACTCCAAAAGGAAAACTGTTTATCTGACATCGACAGTGGCTATGCTAGCTAGCGATAGCATTCACAACAAGATCTGCTGTCGGGAAGAAGTTGTAGCGTAGCAGAGAGAAAGCAGAGGGTGTGAACAGCGTGTACACTTGATGATTAACAGCACTAAGGCCCTCCTCTTGTCTCTGATTGGCTATTTTCTGACTGAATTCTGTATTTCTCCAACTTTTATCAACCAAAGCAATAAACCAGCTTTTACCAGATGAATCTGGATGATTCCTACATGGTGAGTTTCTGCAGAGCAGCAGCAGTTTGTGGAAGGAGAAACTGGATCTGCTCCGCGGTGACGAACACCCGACCTGCTCTGCATTCAGAGCCGGTCCGGTCAGCGTGAGCAGAAAGTGAGCAGCCTGCTGAAGACGCGGCCGGTTAATCTCCTGCAGCCGTCCTGCCTCAGCGCGCCGTGTTCGGCCCGCGGCGCCGTGAACGCCGTAACAGAAATCCAGGGTGACACCGGCTCTGTAACTCAATCCACTGCTGTCTCTGTTTCCACCCCCTCACTCCGCCATCTGCGCTCTGTCATGTTGAATGAGCAGCAGCTCCAGACTACTGCGCTGTCATCCTCTGAGGAGACGCGCGCTGACGAGTTCCCATCTGCACAGAAAAAGGAGCTACATATCCATTAATATTCACCCTGACAGCTGAAGCAGCTTCCTCAGCCTGAATCTGTCACGACGGGAAGCGATCAGCCGCCGCGTAGCTCCGCAATAGCTTCCGTCAACTTTTCATCATTTATTTGTCTTAATGTTTGTTAAAAAAGTGAGAAACCTTTGACAGTTTTCGGAAACACGTTATCAATTCTGTGAGGTTCAGAAACATCAGGAGAAATTACTGCTGCATTAAAGCTGCATTTAATCCGTCAGACGCCAACTGCTGCTGCCGCGAAAATCAAAACGGCCTTTCAGCTTTTATCAGGGTTCATGTGGAATAAGAGTCATTTATAAACCTTCAAAAAACTGATTTTAATCTTAAAGTTTTGACTTTAATCTGATCATTTTGACTTCAATCTCATGAACTCAACCTCTGATTTTAATCTGAAAATCTTAATCCTGAATTCCAACTTTAATCCCAGAATTTGTTTAGAATTTTGACTTTTTTTTACTGAGTTTGACTTTATTGAACACAGCGAAATAAAACAATAAAATATTTATGTGCCGAGCAAAATTAATTTAAAGCAAACAAAACAAATGCAGAACAATAGTAAAAAATGTATTTACATGTTAAAGGAGTCGGTAGAATCAGAAAAAAATCAGATTTCTCGCTTCAATCTTAGAATAACACATTTTTCCCACAAATTTCAGATTTTTCTCAGAATTGAACCTTTTCCTAGAATCAGAATCGTTTAAATAGTTTCCAATAGTTTCCCAAACAAGAGGATTGCCATTAGATTTGATGATGTCATTTCCTCACCGGGGATGTTTCATTCTACACCTGCTTCACTGTTTGGTGAATTTCTGTCGCCCCCTAACGGCCTGGTGGAGGTACTGCATCATTTCGCATCACGTTACCAGCATTGTTTAGATTTAATGACATTTTTTGTTAATTCTTTATAAATGGAATAAATTGTGGCTGGTGTCGTTTATCTGAGGAAGAGTTGAAATCTGAGGGAGCTGCTGCGTCTCACTGATGAAACATCATCAGCCGTTTCTCATTACCAGCTTCTGCCCTCCACAGGTTTTCCTCCTGGATATTTTTCATGTTGTTTATCAGAAGTTTTCCTTGTAGATTACATCTGGGATGAAGTTTGTAATCTGAATTTGTGTTTATTGCATTTATTGATCCCAGAGAATTACTTTCACCCTTTAATAGATCACTAAGCTTAATTTGAACTTCTGATGAAGTGGATTAATAAAACTGGTGATGAATTTCAGCTGAAACGGATGAGAGAGGGAGATCCACTCCATCCTGATTAGGACTGCCTGCTTCGCCCATTTAAGCCGCAAAAATACTTCTTGTTTACAAAGATGTTATTTCAGCATTTCTGCTCAGTGAATTGATTACGCCTGGAAGGACATTTAATCTCAGGATTAATTTCAGTCACGCTGATTCTCCTCCCGCTCACACTTCGATTGACTGAGAACAGGAGCAATAAATGCCAATTGGTGGCAGTGTGTGTGTTAGCATGCTGGTGTGTGTGTGAAGCTGGTCCAGCAGTAATAAATGACTGTGTCTGTTTGACTCTGTGCTTAAACAGTGATGGATGTCGCCTCCCTTTGTGTGTCCGTGTGTGTGCGCGATCACAGCCGTCCCTTGTTGGCTCTCCACTGAGCCTTGCTAATAGCTAATGGACAAACAATTAAGTGGCCCTTAACGATGTTAAAGAGTTAATGAGCTCATTAAGACGACAACGCTGGGAGAGAGACCCAAACGGAGACAACAACTGGGAGGGAAAATTAAAAATCTACCTGCTGATCTCCTCAGCTTCCTCCATTTCTCAACAGATCCAAAGAGGCGCTGCTCTGCTGAGGAGGTGAATCTGTGCTTTAAAAGCAAAATGCATTTCTGATTTCCTCTCAAACATTTAACCCTGTAGCTTCTCACCAGAGATTTGATGCTTCTGCTCAGAACAGAGAGGCGACTCTGACGTCTATAGTGGCAAAAAGATACAAAAACCCTGCAGAGAAAAACTCCTGTTGCAAATGTTCCTCCCTAATCTACGAATGAAAACGGCTAGAAATTATCCAAATACAGGTTTAGATCATGACACAAACGAGGAAACTGTGAGCTAATTAAAAGTGTTTCCGTCTGCCTGATGCAGCAAGTATCCTGTATGTTCTCGAAAATGTCAGAAAACAAAAATATTAAAGGACTCAAAAAACCAATTAGATTCTGGAAATTCCAGGCAAATTTCTGTCCTGGAAGAACTGCTGGTTTATTAAGATCACTTACACTTTTTCAAGATCCATAAAGTACCTGAATGTACGTTGTAACTCTAGAAAGATCTAGAAAACAAACAGCAACTTATGAAAATAACTCAGCAAGGTTTAGAAAGTTCCAGAAAACGTCAGAAAAGTTAAAAAAAATACCCACTTTCCAGAAAGCAAAGTTCTGGTTCTGGACAAAGTAGGAACATTAATCTGGTTCGTCTGCAAGTCAAAAAATGTTTGATTTTTAAAACTTGAAAATGTCAAGTACAATTTCTGAGATTAATCTAAAAATTTCTGAGGGGTTTTCTAAGAAATTTACAAATTTTCAATCTCAAATATCCAAGGTTTAAAAAGAAAAAAATTAAATAATGTTTTCTGGAATATTTCTGAGATTAATCGCAAAATTTCAGATATTTTTGGCAGAACATGCCTCGTATTTTCTAGACAGCAGCCCGATAGTTCTGGAGAAATGTCCTTTAAATTGCAAAAAGTATCTAAAAAATGCAATTCCTCGTGTCTCCGTTCCTAACGGACCCGTCAACATGTCCGCCGTCTCTTATCTCACTCAGTTTGAGGAGAGCTGAGCGTGGGAATGCTAATATGGACAGAGAGATGATGGATGGAGTTTGATAAAAATGGGAAACGCTGAGGGATGAAAACAGGAAACTGATAAACGGTCCACTGACGTTGCCATGGTTCCTGTGGCATCTCGCCGTCTCTCTCCTGGTTCTTTCATGTAAAATCTTGTCGGCGTTTTGGATCGTTTTGAACCAAAAGTCTCTGCAGACCGGACGGATTATGGAAATGCGTCGGAGCCCAGGTGCATGATGGGTCCTGGCGACGATACGAGGCAGATTATGGAAATGCGATGGGTTGGAATTGAGGGGTTTCTCTGCTACTCTGAGACTCGGAGAGTCTTATCTCCGACAGATTAACTTTCAGCGAACGTCAGAGTGTCGGCCTGTCCCTGAACGTCTCGGCGTTTGTTGGATCTGCTGAATGAAAACCTCTCCTGTCTGAAGATGCCTGAACCTCGTGGGTATCCGCTCCCTGCTCAACCTCAGGCCCACATCGATATGCATGAGGTTCAGGCTGAAGGTTGAAGCAGGAAGCAGGTACCAAACCAGCATGAATGTTAACAAACGCACACAGAGAGCTCGTTATTATGCGCTGGGCTGTGGCGCCGCCTCCTAGTAGTTGCTATGGCAGTTAGAGGCCAACTTTCCCTCAACTTGTTTCTGTGTTGAGCTATTCTGAGGATGACTCCTGAGAGTTGAAATGAAGAGCGAGTCTGAACCGTGGAATCTGACTTTACATTGATCTAGTGACCCTGAATGCACCACTGTGGGTCCCAAACAACCTCAGCAGCAGTTTAAAGAGAGTAGAGGGAGGTTATTGCAGAATAGCAGAAGTTTTAGACAAGATGATTGTTGTGGCATTTGTGTTGTTTGGCTATGAATAACAATAATAATATTGATTGGTTCTGATCAGATTGGAGGGTACAGAGGCTTTGCATCGTGACGTCACAGCACCAAATGGACTTTTCAAAGTAAAACATTCTACTTCCTGTTGTGAAGGGGCGGGGCTTTGGTGTATTAAGCTGTTATTTTTAGATCTGAAGATGTGGGAGGGAAATTTCACTCAGGTGTGTTCATGGAGGAACCGTCTCTGTCTGCGCGCTATGGACCGGTGACGATGTTCTGGTCTCCTCCCTCTCTCAGGGCGGGGTACCTCCCACAGGGCGTTCCTCTGCAGCTGATTGGCTACCTGCCGGAGGAGACGTCCTTCCTGCCGTGGCACGCCGCCAGCCGGGCGCTGTACCAGCTGGACAAACTGTTGGACCGCACAGACGACTACAGGCTGTTCAGCGTAAACAACCGATCCATCATGATCCATCTGAGCTCCAGAATGGGCTGCTGGTGCTGACCCAGTGTGTGTGTGTGTGTGTGTGTGTGTGTGTGTGTGTGTGTGTGTGTGTGTGTGTGTGTGTGTGTGTGTGTGTGTGTGTGTGTCCAGGACTACGTGCTGAAGCAGGTGGCGTCCCGGTACCATCAGATGGGCTGGCCGACAAACGGACCGGGAACAGAGGGAAACATCCTGCAGGCGTCGTACCAGACAGAGTAAGAGGAGCGGTTCTGGTCAGCCGGGTCCGATGGTCTGCAGCAGGCTGGTCTGTTAGCGAGTCAGTCTGTTTAAAACTTTTAAGTGTTTCTATAAGCGCTGATGTTGGAAATAATCGTTTCAATCAGCGTGTATGTATATTTATGACCTTGTGTGGGTCAGAGTAAATCCGGAGTGAATTAATTTATAGTAATAATTATTCCATCAGATCGGCTCAAACAAATCCTGACTGGCGCTCACAGTAGAGCCGCTTTATTTTCTCTGCAGAAGAAGAAATATCGGACCGATATTTGGAAATTTTTCAGATTCAGTTTTTTCTCTCAGCTTTGTCCCGAGTCGATTGAATGAAAAACTCGTCTCTGCGTCTCATTAGCAGGGAGAGTGACGGTCAGTGGAGTCCAGGTTGAATCCTCCGTCTCTGTTATTGGTCAGAATGTCTTCCTGTTTCCTGCAGAGAGCTGCAGCGAGAGCTCATCATGCTGGCCTGCAGCTTCGGGAACAAGCAGTGCCACCGCCAGGCCGTCGCCTACATCTCCGACTGGATCTCCAGCAACAAGAACAGGTGCAGCACACACTTTTCTGAGGCGTAGCTGAATGCATCGCAGCTACATTCAACTTTAGTCCACATGTGTCCAACTCAAGACCCGGGTCCAGATAAATAAAACCTTTAACATAACGTTTACCTGCTTAAATATTATCAAATCAAAACAGTTTTTATCTGTTAACTTTCTTCAGACTCCAGTTTTTTGCGATTTCACAATCATGGAAAAGCAACATATCCTCACACTCTTTTGCAATAATAATTCATTTAGATTTTTCTGTAATTTTTCCACCAAAACAGTCAAAAACTTGATGCTTTATGTGATGCCAACTCCCACCTACAGGTGGCAGTATTTCATTCCAGTGCACTGCTTCCTCAGCTTTACTTGATTCTGGTTATTGAACAAAAACTCACAAAAGTGCAAATATTGAAAAATATTTTACTAATATTTCTAAATTAGCTCCTCAAATCAGTGATTTAGATTGTAAAAAAAATCTTTAAATATTACTTAATTTCAAGAAGTACTTATCGGATGCACATACAGCCATTTTGTTAATGTTTTAACAGTTTGATGGGTTTTATCAATACATTGTGGGACATCATTCATGATCCTGATTTATCCCCAAATGGAAATGAGTTTGACATTCCTGCAAGTCAGTAAGATCTGAAAACACAACAATCATCCGTCGGCCGTCTCTGATCATCGATTCGGTCACATGATCACGTCTTTTTCTTCTCTTGTGTTTCCATCGAAGTCTATTTGCGTCTCGTCCGTGTTCGCTCCCTCCGGGTTCCTAACGAGATCTGTGAAATTAAATTTCAAACGGCAAATTAAATAGAAACAGATGCTTGAGTTCTGTGGAGGACAGCGGGGAGCTGATGATGAGAGGCTTCCTTAAATAATAGAACCCAGAAAAAAACGTTCTGACTTCATTAAGCAGCGTTTATGAATGAATATTCATCTTCTGGCTTGTTTTACATGTCAGGATTGTATCTAAAAAATATTTATGGTTTATAACAGATTAGATAATGAAACCCAATAATAATCATTTAAAATTCAAATAAACGGGTCTGTCTGTACTTCTTAAAATAAAACATGGACTTTCTTCACAAACTGATGAATTCCTCCAGGATTCTGTGATTCTTAATATTTTAAGAAATATTTTTCATTTTTGCACAATACTTTGCAAAAATTTGACTTGAGCTTAGACTGACACAACAGCAGAAGTAATAAATACTGCCACCTGCAGGTGGGAGTTAGCATCGCTTAATTATAATAATATTTTTGACCCTTTTTGTTGAAAACTTGCAATAATCTCACAATAATGCGTCAGCATGGAAAAGTGCTTAATTAACATAACTAAAACTGCTTTGATTTGATTTATAAAATGTGTTATAAATATGTAATATAACTATAAATGTTTAGAAAACAGTTTCCCAGCCAGAACCTTTGCATTTGGGCGTTTCTGCTACGACTGTTAAATCTGACGCACAATCATCAACATTTGTTTTTAAATAGAAACGATCTGATTGGACGCTGGAAAAGTGTTCAGGTTGTGCTAAAGAGAGTTACCCTGAAACAGCATGTATCGCCAGAACAGATGATATAATATACAGACATTTTATATCTGTGTTGTTGATGTCCAGTCAATAACTTAGTATCAAATTTGGGTTTTTAATTGAAATTCTTGATTATTTTGTTGGTAGTTTTCTATTAAAATTACAAACACTCAAATTATCCCAATTCCACCATTAAAATGAACATTTTAGTTGCTTTGGATAGATTTTATACACGTTGGTGGAAAAGTGAAAAATAATTCCACATTCATTTAGGATTAATGTTTCCAAAGGGTGAGTTCTATAGAAAGTATGAATCCTATCTGCAGTCCTTCTGTCTGTGCATTTTTAAATCCCAAACATTCTTTTATTATCAGAATCCAACAATTAAAGCCTCGGCAGAGAAGAGCTGATCTGACCCAGCCTTCTCCAATCAGGACTAAATATTAGCTCTTATTTTGCTCAGAGGAGTCGCACCTGAATATAAAACCACAAAGACCAGAACAGGGAGAGAGTAATTACTGAAGAGAGCAGTATATGGAATATTAATCAAACCACAGTGGGGATTCATTGTGAATTAAATGGCTGTAGGAAGATCTTTGTTGAAGTTATCTTGGTGACAAATGGATGGATTAAACTTGTAACGAGGTTATGGGCAGCAATAAACTGCTTCACCTCAATTAACCTCCTTTTCTCCAATATTTATGAATTATACCCAGCATTTCTAAAGAAAATGAGTCTGGCTTTAAATTTATGCCTTTTAATGCAGAAAGGTTCAGCTGCTGTTTAATCTGAGCCTCGTTTCACAGCCGTGCCTGTAGGGGGCGACAGCGCGCAGGTTTATCCGTCCAGTCACTCTTCATAAAACATGTTGAAATGAAAGCAGCTGGCGAAAATGTATTTATCACTCTGAGTTTTGCATTTGCTTCACATTTTAGATTATTTACTTATTTTAATTCTCTTTGTCTCATACAAACACAGGAAAACAGATTAATCTTTGTTTCCAATGTATCAGAACATAAAAAAATGTCCTGGTTGTGAATATTTTTACAAAGCTCAATAATAGTCAACAAGGTCTGCATCAGAGCAAGATTATTGGCTGAGGCCCTTTTCCAGCAGACGCAGCGTGTCTAATCAGGTTACAGGAAATGGAGGTTCTCCCACTGAACATGGAGATTAAATTATCTCCATCGTTGTGTGAAAGCATCAACTCATCGTTTCTCTGTCAGTCAGGCCTGTGAGGGATGGATCTACTGAGATTCCTGATCATTTCATTGTTCTGACGTTAATCGGCTCTGATTAGTGATCGTTTATCCGCAGCAGTTTTTCACATCAGCAGCAACTGGATCCAAAAGGAAACCGAACTACCAGTGATACCGGAGAACAACTGGAGCTGGATCCAAACTGGGCCAAGACCAGACCAATAATCCCAGACAGCAACAAAATGACTGAGACAGAAAACAGTTTGGAAGGGCCTAGTCAAAGCCCAGACGATGTGGTGGGACATTCAAAGACAAGTGTCTGCAAAACCCAACGAAGTGAAGCAACTCTGGAAAAAACGTTTCCAATTTCCTCCACGACGTCGGGAGAGAAGAACTTCACTAATCAATCACTTTGCCAAAGTAAAGTGATTGATGATGATGATGATGATGAATATTTGTTTATTTTTACTTCGTTATAAACACAATGAATCAGACAGAAAGCGGCTTTTTGCTCCTGAAGGAGATTTAAAACTTCATGTCTGAGTCCATCTGCTGGAACAACGTATCTCAACCTTTAACCTTTGACTAGGCCGCTCTTTTTCTGCCCAATAAGTTCAATGTTTCATCAGCAGTTCTGGGGAACGCCAGAGTGACACTTACTCTGCAGAATCCCACAGACAGAGCGACGGACGGAGGAGCAGATGGTGCAGAGGCATGTTTACTGTCAGAGTGGGAGTTTGATGCAGAGGAAGGACGAGATATTTCAGGAAAAACAGCTTCAGGACCCGAAACATCCTCTGCAGACTGCAGAGGAAGCTAATGGCATCAGAGCCATCTGGAGGGAGACGCGGCAGAACAAGAAAACGTCACGTTATCGCTCTGAAGTTTTATCAGCGACGGGACGGACATTCAGGAACAGTCGCAGGTTAAAACGGAGGAGGCGGAGTTTAGCGTTGGCAGCTGCTGTCATGGAGGAACTTTCTGCCTCCGTCAGCAGGAATGAGTTTGTGTTGCTCTTAAGTGGAGCATCTCTAAAAAGATTTCCCAGGTTGGTAAATAATGCAATTGTCCCTGGATCACTCACTCACACACACACACACACACACACACACACACACACACACACACACACACACACACACACACACACACTGTTTGTCTTTCTGCCTGCATTCAGAGTATTGACTTCCATTCATTTTACAGTTCAAAAAACCCAGGACTAAGTGAATTTTCTCCTTTGTACTGGACATAATTTCCACTGCAGAAAATGTAATTTGTAAAAACTTTCTGCAACATTTTATTCTCTTTGACGTTTTACAAACAAACGAGGCAGTTAATCCAGTTTCTGTCGTTTATTGATCTTTTTAAAATTACAGCAGCTGCAGTGCGCTACAGTAAAGAAAGAATGAGACTGAAAAAAGGCAAAGAACAACTAAAATCGACTCGTATCTTTGGTTTTTTCTCGTTCTCTCAGTTGGCCCAATGACAACAGATTATGTTTCAGTTAAACATAAAGTAATAATAAGAGATTTTGGTCTAGATTTTAGTGCAAATATCTTGGTACACTTAAAAAAGACAAAAACTAACTTACAAGTAGTAAGTACTAACGCAGCAGATCCTTTTAAAAGTTAAGTTTAGAGGTTTGCTGTGATTTACGCTTTTGTTAAAAGGGACTGTTATACAAAATTCTCCTTATGCTGTTTTTATTCTCCCATTTGGGTCTCGACTGCTTCTAAAAACACACCAAGCTGTTTTTAAAAACACGAAAAAAAACAAACATCGAACCATTTTCTGGCAATAATTTAATGATTTTTGGTGTCTGGAAAACAAGCCCTTTCAAAAACCTCCTCATTGTTAAGTGACAAGTCAGCAGAAACTGTGGCATTGCCTAGCAACCCCAGCAGCATTTCAGAACATTTGGTCAGCTGGTTCAATGGCTGCTGGAAAAGACAAGTGTTTTGTTGTTGATGTACCATCCAGAGACCATTTGCTTCATCCTCAATGGTTGTGCAGCAGGCTCCACTTTTGCTTTTCAAAGTTGTGCAGTTGTATAATTGCACATTGGTGCGAGTGTAAATGTTGCGTTGGGAATATGTTGTGGAAAGCAGCATATGCACTTCTGTCAGTCAACACATCTGCTCTACATCCCAGTTCACGCCGTCGAAGTGTTTACTGGGAATAATAAAACTGCCAAAAACCACAGATGGGAAGCCAGTTAATGAGGCTGCAGATTTCTGGTCCTGGTTTTGATTCCTCATATTCACATGCAGTTTTTCTTTTTGTTTTAAGGAGAAAAATCTATTTAGAAACATTTCTGGGTTTTTAAAAATCACATTTCCACCAGTCAGAGTTTGGTTTTAATGAGCATCAAAGTGAAATGCTGTGAATTTTCACAGATGTGTTGAGTGTGTTACACTGTAAAAACACCAAATATTTTTGGTGCACATATCTTAATATAATTAAAATAAGATAGAACTAACTTCAAAGTAACTTTCCATATAAATATAGGAGGTTGTTTTAAGTCAGTAATTCCTTATTACCAATAAATATCTACTAGTTGAAAAGGCAAATTATTTCCTTTATAGCAGGACATTTTCCCACGTTGTAGTAAAATAATCTGGCACTTTGTTTACTGATGAGGAATTATTTACTTGAACTCATATATCTTGGTGAAAAGTCACTTTTAAGTTAGTTTTGTCTTATTCAAAGTCAACTACTATATTTGCAGGAGAAACTAGATAAAAATGCTGTTTTTTTGCAGCGTAAGGTGTGTTTTCATGTCCAGCTGAAGGTTTTTCAGTGCAGCTTCCTGCTGAGAGAGAAATTAGCACCCAGAAAGTGTCGGGGTTAATCCAGAGGAAGCGTCTTATCAGGGCTTTTGGATTCATTACGATTCCTGCTCTCGTCCTGCTCTTCCCTCACCAGTTAAATCCAGCCCTTATCAGCACGCTTTACATTTCCCATGTCTGAACTCTCTTATTTCTTTATTTTCATCCCGTCTGCAGGATTCCTCCCAACATCCGGGACATCGTTTACTGCACCGGGGTCAGCCTGATGGACGAGGACGTGTGGGAGTTCATCTGGATGAAGTTTCACTCCACCAGCGCCGTCTCAGAGAAGAAGATCCTGCTGGAGGCGCTGACCTGCTCCGACAACACCTTCCTCCTCAACAGGTGCTGCGTCTCTTCTGCTGGAACAGGAAGGGGTTGAAGCCTAATCAATACCATCGATCAGGCAGGGAGTGGCTCAGAGATCGCTCTTCATTCTGGGATTATTTTACGCCTTTGTTTACTCTGCTGCTTTGTGACGCACTAGCTAGCTGTGCATCACATTAGCATCCTCTGCAGAGGAAAACAGCAAGAAAAAATATTAAAGTTCAACAAATTTTAAATTCTTCAGAAAATTTCATGAGATTCAGAGAAAACTTTAGCCATTACTCAATATTTCTGAGATTTTTTTTTTTTTTTGCAAATGTTTGACTTTCGGTGAACAAAATTGTTTTAGTTTCATCATAGAAAATGTCTGAGATTAACTTCAAAATTTCAGTTTTTCTTAGCAGATTTGTGACTTTGGAGATGAGGAATTTCCTTGTTTTTCCTAAAACAAATTCTAAGATTATTCTCAACAATTTTTTGCTAAATTTTGATGTTTGAGTTTTTTTCATGTGAACTTTTGCAGCTCAAAAAGTTTCAGATTTTTATTAGCAGAAAAGTTGCTCCTTTTTTAGTCCATCTGCAATTATTCTGAAACGAGTTTCTCTAATCTGACTTCCTTCTTCAGGAACGAGGAAATCATTAAGCGCTACATCAACCCAGTAATCAGATTACAGTTGCTTACATAGAGGTCAAATATTTTCATTTAAATGAGGTGAAAGGTCAGGCTCTCCTGAGGTTGGTTCCTGTGATATTCTGACTAAAGATGGTGCAAAGTGAATGAAAGTTGGTGAAAATGTGAGCTTAAAGCAGAGGAATCGGCTCTGGCTGCGTCTGAGGGAACATCAGAGTTCATCAGCCGTTAGCCGCAGCGATTGTGTTCAGAAATATGTGGAAGATGGATGTTACACACTCAGAGCAAGGTTGTTGCATGAATGTGTGTGTTTGTGTGTGCAGGTACACCTGATCCAATCAGCCGCACACACACACACACACGCACACGCACACACACACACACACGGCGGAGTCATCACGCGAAGCCGTGAAGCTCCCTGATTGGTCACAGAGGAAATGGTTTCAGCACAGAGGGATTGTGGGAAAGGAGAGGAAATTGATTTCAGGGTTTAATGAAACGGCAGCAGAAACCAAACCAACAGGAAAACACAGAAATGGGAAAAAGGAAAGTGAAAGAAAACTCTGAACTTTTTCCCTCCCACATCTAAAGAAAACACAGAAAACATGTTATTTCTCATGTTTGTGAAATCCTTCTGTCAGTCAGCTGCAGCCTGGAGTAATCTGATTACTGCAGCTCAGGTGTGTCCTTTCAGGAAGTGATTTTTGGTTGACAGGAACAGCGAGCGGAGGGACGCCGACAACACGACCAGAAAATATCAATTTTCATCTGACCTTTTCCTGCCTCGGCTCCATGTTTGTGTGGCTGAAGGTCACAGAGTCTCTGCAAAGGGACCAAAGTCTTTATTTCCTGCGGCTTGGAGGCGTGCGCTTCTCTTTGGGAAATGAAATCGGGGAGGTCACGCCTCAGTGCAGATGGAAAACTGAAATTCTCACATATCAGGATGTTTTTCAGAAACAGACTCAAATGGTTGTTTTGTTGTTGATCATCAACTAACTGGTCAGTAACTTTACAACTCAGAGTCGTTTCAAAGTTTAATTTAAAATGATCATTTTTGTCGCCATTGTGACACTTTTGAAGCAATCAGCTTACCATCACTAAATGATTAATAACGTTAATCGTTTAAGGCCCAGTTTAGATTTGGTAACTAATGGAAACTTTTTATAGCATATTTAAAAAAGATTTAATTCAAATGTATAGATATGTTGTTTAGTTTTGACCTTTTTACTGCTGAGTGTTTTAGTTCTTTCACAAAAGGATTTTTTTAGTCTGTTCTCCAGTTAACAATTAATTACTAAATTAGTTGACGATTATTTCAGTAATCAATTAATTTGATTAATCGATTAAGCATAAATTCTTAATCTAACTTTGTCTGAACTGATTTTCTACCTTGATGATTTGATTTTTGACTTTTACATCCTGTTTTAAAATGAATTATAGTTGGTTACAAACCTTCTTTAAATCCTGTTTTTCTTTTTCTTGCGTTTGTTTTTTCTAGGTTACTGAATCTGTCTCTGACCTCTGACCTCGTCCCCGAGCAGGACGTGATCGACGTCATCATCCACGTGGGACGAAACCCTCAAGGTCGGAACCTGGCCTGGAAATACTTCAGAGACAAGTGGGACATCCTGAACGCCCGGTGAGACAGGAGCGCCTGGCCCACTTCCTGTTTCCTGTTTCCTGTTTCCTCTGACCGCGTTGCCGTTTCTCTCCAGATACGGAGAAGCTTTGTTCATGAATTCAAAACTCATCGGTGGAGTGACAGAGTTCCTGAACACGGAGCGAGAACTTAATGAGGTAAAAACAGAAACACAAACAAAACAAATGAATCGAATGTTGCAGTTTTGGTCCAAACAAACCGATCAAACCGATCAGGTGTTAAAACGACTTGAACTTCAGGCTCAAATGTGTATTTGGCCTGAAAATCAAACCCTGGTTTGCCTTCAAACCTAACTCTGTTCGGTTGAAATGCAAAAGCAGGAAGCAGATTGCAGCGCTCGGCATTCTGGGTAAATACCAAAACAAATGCGTTAGCTTAGTGCTAACGGGAGAAATGGTTCGTGGTTTTCAGCCAAAGACTGAAATCCTGTAATCGCTAAAATCTGACAGCACTTTGTCTTCTTCTGAGGTTTTCATGTTGTTTCCTTCAGTGGCTCTTGGCGTAGCGCCCCCCCAGGTGAAGAGGGGAACAGGCTGCTTAATTAATTTGGTTAGTTTGACTCAGCGCAGTGCGAAAGAGAACTGAAGCAACTGGAAATGCAACATGTTGCAACTTTGGTTCAGAACCGGATGTACCGAACCGTCAGGGACTAAAACTCCGTACAGCTTCTCGATTTTTGAGCTGATGTTGTTCCCCAACCTGCCATATTTAGCAGAACTGATGTGCTGCTATGAGTTTGGTTATAAGAAGAAGAAAATCTGTCGACCAGGATAAATGATCCTTCTTATTACCAATTTAGCAAATGTAAATCTTTTGGTAGTTCGGTGAAGTACGAAGCAGCAGGACTGAAAAAGCCTTTGATCTGCGGCCGTTAGAAAATCTGAGACATCAATTAATCACGGCGTATTAAGACGTCCTTCTGGGACTCGCCACCTCATCAGTATTTTACATTCTGGGTTGATTAATCTGGGTTAGTAAAGCTGGATTAATCATTTCTATGTGGAGTCATTTCACAGCTGCTTCACCTGTTTTATTCACACAAAAGGAAAGACGCCTGGACAAAAACACGAAGCAGAAATAACATAAAAGCTGAAAGGTTAACGCTGTTCCTCAATGAAAATCCATCACTTTGCCCTTTTTCTAGTCTTCTTGTTGTTATGGTAACAAATTACAGTCTCTGTATGGCTTCGACTGTCAGTGAAACCTCAGAACAAAACATCATTATTTCCCTCGGGACGCTGGAATACAAAACCTCAACAAAGGGAAAGATTGACGTGGGGTTTTTATTTCAGATCTGAACAAATGTCTGGGTGAATCACTCTGGGGAGCAAAAAGGAAGAAAGGGAAGGAGAAAGTAAATAGAAACTGAAACTGTGGAGAGGGAAGCGAGTGCAGCGTTAACAAATGATTCAAAGTAAAGAGACTTAAAGGGAAAGCTTTCCTTCTGCGCTCCACTGGATCTGTCAAACAGAACCAAGTTCCCTCTTTGGTCTTTGACCTGAACAACTTCAATTATTTCTCTTTTCACATTAAAAAAATCTTCTTTTCAGATGCTTTTCTTTAATTCGCTGTCGCACACGTTGCGGTTTCAGCTGAAACGTTTCCAGTGTTTGGTCAGAACCGGTTCTGTAAAAATATAAAGCAGCTAAGAAACTGTCTGCTCTTCCACGGTTTGAGTCCAGCGTCATTAAAACCCAGTAAAGCCTCCAGTAAATAATCGCTCCTCTGTCTGGTTTACAGGATGCAAAAAGAAATTAGCTGCGTTTCTTTTGACAGAATTTGACTTTTAAAAAATTAATTAGCTTAGCAGAAGCATACCAGCTAGTTTTGCCGTTTTTATCCATATTGAAATTGGTTTATTTTGCAAAACACTTTTTTTCCATCATGAGTCACATGATCAAAGACTGGATGCTACTACTGGTAGAAATGACAAAAAAGAAGACAGGAAGTGGTTGGTGGATGATGGCGCTGCAGGTTTTTTGGATGACTTATGATTTACTCAAGTTTGTTAACATGTGATTTTCATTTTGTTTCTTATTTTTCTGCCACTTGTGAAATTACATTTTTTCAACATTAGCAGAATATTGACAGTTTTGTGCACATTTATAATGGAAACTGTTTGTCATATTATCACTGAAGAAACATCAATAAATCAAGTTATGAAAATCATTTTAACAGCATTCACTGCCTGGAAATTATCTTTGTGCATTCCAGCAAACAGCTTCATCAGTTTATGACTAATTTAAATTTAAATTAGATTTTATAAGATCTCATGATTTTGAAGCCTGAGACACTTTCTCTTCTGTCCGTTTCATGACAGGCTACTGAGTTACTGAGTCTGAATTAGTTGTATTTGCACATTCAGCAAATAGCTAATATCTGTTTGAGATAAAAAATATTTGTTGAATAAAAATACAAAACTTAGACACGCACAGTTTTCCTGGGTTGGTTGAAGCCGATGTTCGATCCATCACCAATAACTCTTGTTTTTAACATTTGTGTTTTCACCCCATCCTCTCCTTCACCAGTTAAAGGAGTTTATCCAGTCCAGCGGCGTGGGGGCGGGGCCTGCGCTGCCCCGAGCCTTGGAAATCGTAGAGGGGAACGTCCGTTGGCACCGCCTCCACCGGCGGCACTTCTACCAGTGGCTTCGCAAACCTCCAAGCTCCACCTACGGCTAACGCTCCGCTGGCTCGCTGGAGCGAAGCTAGCTGCACTCTGACTGCTAAGCTAACGCACTTCTAGCTAATGGACGCACTCAAAACAACTGGCCTGCCTGGCTCATGGGCTGGTTTCTGAACTGGTTATGTTTTAAAAGAAGTTTAATGTGTTCATCGATGGTGTTTCTCAACATGAAGCCCTTGTGGTCAAATTGTGCTGTAAAAACGTGACAACAGTTGATCCAGGCTAGCATCCAGGCTAGCATCAAAGCTAGCATGGGTTAGCGAGCCTCGGATTTTATATCCGTCAACAAAATAACAACCAACAAAATGTAACAACAAAAACTTTGGAATTTAAAGAAAACCAGAATATTTGGCCACTATACCCTTAAGCTTTCACATTTAATTTCTTTACATTGAAAAGAAGTAAACTGATTGCTAACATCTCGAATTCAATTAAACATAAGCCATATAAGTGATATAAAGTTTAAATGGTAAATCTGTGGACTGATGAAACTTTTTGTTTCTAGAGGTTGGTGAAATTAAACATAATTGGGTTTAATTTCAAATCCCTAGAAGAGGATCGTGTGAAATATGCATCTACAGGCGTTAGTGGGAGATGTACGCGACGTTAGCCGCATTAATACCGGAAGGACTTTGAGGCAAACAATCTTAATAGATGGAAAAAAGAAACAATTAATGTGCAAAGATCTACTGATGATGCCAGTGAAAACAAAATACTTTCAATATTTCAGTTTCCAAATGTCTTAATCAGTTGCTGTGGTTTTTAGAAAGATCTGAAACCTCTCAAAATTAGTAGCAATGTCTGTAAGTTGAAGAGTTTAGAACTTTAACTGGCCAATCAGAGCAGACGGCCTCATCAGACCTCCAGTCTGGACCAATCAGAGCAGACGGCCTAAAATCAACCTACAAACATTCTGAACAAAGATTTTTGACTTTCGAATGAAAAACCTTTCTGCGTGATAAAATATCAGAGATTGAGTTCAAATGTGACTTTTGTTTTCTTTATTTAACCAGCTTCCATTTGACGGCATGTCGATCAGAGCTGTTATTAACGCGGTTTGAACCAGATCTCCTCTGTTCACAGCATTCAGAAAACTCATTCAGACTCATTAGCGCTTCGCAGCATTCACACTGACGCAGCTGGAAGTCAAAAACTTCAACACAAAAACTTCAGCGGTTTGAAGCTTTTGCTGCTTCAGAACGGGAAACAAAACAACAAAAAGTAATAAAGATGACGGCAGCGTGGAGCCCCACCTGTGCAGGAATAATTGTTCTCTGATGAGCGACGATGTTCTGGTTGGTCTTTGGCTTTAATGAGCTGAAAACGTCTGAAGAGAAAACAAAACAGAAATGGCTGCAACATGAAAGACACGATGCTGTCATTTCATCCTGGCAGGTTGGAAAATAACAGGTTTGACAAACATTTGAAGTCTAAATGTCCAACAGCATTTTAGACAAAGCTATTAATTATACATCAAAGTCTCAATTTTCACTCATTTTTCTATTTAAGGCAGAGATCAATTTTCCATTTATAAATGTATAAATTACCTCATTATTGTTAAAGTCCCATAAACTTAACATTTTATGGGGTGTAACTGAAATCCAGTTGATTTACACGGTTAAAATGTAAATTAAGAAAAATAAACTGAAAGGGAAACATGGATGTTGTTAAATAATTTCAATATTTTCTCTTTCATTTTCTGTTATGTTGCAGATCAAGTTTGTTCAGGAAAGTTTTTCTGCTTAGTTGCTGCTGTGATTTTGAGACTTCATGACGCTGCAAAGTTTTATTTTTATTAAAAACGATCCGACCGAAATGACGGCAATGAAACAAGTTATAGTTTTAAAATAGTTTATCGCCAAGCGTCCGAAACTGCAGAGCAACTGGATGTTTATTGGCTGAATTTGTATTTATTTAAAATGAAATTTGATCCATTCGATTAAAAATAAATTCTGATTTTCAATTAGAAAGGATTTATTTTTATTTTTCTGAAAAAGAAAGAAATGACAAAAAGTAACTTTTATTATTTGAATCATTTCTTCTGAAAACAGACAAGATGCTGGTTTTTGGGCAAGTTGACAAAATATAGAAAAATAGATTTTCCAAAACTCTTCAAAAAGTTGATGACATTATTTGCATATTTATGCATAATGAGTTTATAACATCTGAGCTAAAATAAAATCTGCTGCCTCGGCTGATCCCATCCGCGTTAAAGATTTGGTTGTTTTATATGATGTTGCTTTTTACAGCAGATTACTGATGTTGACCCGATTGGACCTGATGGACCTCAGGGTTCGGCGCTGTGAACTTTGAACTCATCCCACAAATCTGCTTGTCTTCAGCGCAGCAGAGTTTTTGGACGCATTTTTGGAACAAATCACGAACTTTACTTGGATTGTACCGTTTCTTTTGCTCTGGAGAAACTGAACTTTTGGACGGATCTTGACAGAACATTTCCAGAACATTTCCAGAACCTCGGACCGGAGAAACGTTTTGGAGATGCTCCTCTGCTGATCCAGCTTTGATGTTCGTAACTGAGCCATATATGAATGAACGGGCCTCTTTCCGTACATCGTGTCCAGTGGTGTGTGCTCGTGATGAAGATGATGATGATGATGGGAACGGCTAATTATGATTCTGGTCATCTCTAATTGGACCAGGAGGAAAGAATGACGGCGGCTGCGATTAGCGTCCAGTCAGAGAAATCAGGTTTACAGGCATTAAAAGCACAGCACCTGTACAGTAAACACTGTAAATTATACAAACGTGATATTTAAAGAGAAAGTGCAATCTGAAACTGTCTGTGTTGGTAAAAATGGTGTTTATGACTGAAGGCGCACGATCAAAATCTGAAGGAAACAGGAAGTTGCAGGCAACATTTTAGCCCAACTTCCTGTTTGCGTTGTGTTGGTTTCTTGTGTTGGACCGTATTAAAATAAAAACAACAAAAATTATTCAGTTTGTCTGGGAAACCACAATGTGTTGCACCTGATGGAAATGATCCAGAGTTTCTGCTCGTCTTAAAAACACGAGTCGTTGATGTTGGTCACATTTTAAGGAATCGGTGAAAACGGTGGTTAGTTTTTTATTCATGGTGAAGAAAAGAACGGAGATGGAAATGAATTCAGGAGGAAAAATGTCCAAACCATCTTCTAAAGTGGTACAGCAGCGTGTCGGGGAAAGACGAAGAGCTTTTCTAAAAGGTACGGGAAACATTAATGGAATAAAATCACAGTGTTTCCAGATGAAAGCCTTAAAATTACAGCATAATGTTTGAATGAGAGCAAAGCTCAGATCCACTCAAATCATTTCTGGACCAATAATAAGTGATGCAGATGAATTAATTCTTAATTCTTTTTACTAATATTACATCTTTATTAAAATTCCACTGATGTTTTTCTTGTAATATTAAGTAATTTAACAATTAAAACAAAGTACTGTTAAATGTTTTCTTTTATTTGAACAAAATTGTTTTAAAAAAAGGATTATTAACTTAAAACAATCTTAGTGGCTCTGTCACAATAACAGATACAGCTGGATGATAAATTGTCCCAGAAGTTATTGCGATAAACGATAATATCGTTTTGAGACCATTTTAATATAATATTATGATAATGAGATAATAACAAATTCCAATGAACATTTAACGCTGGAACAGGAAAACGATTTAAATATCCAAAATAAACAAATGAAAATAATTATGAAGTTTCTATGAACAAGAAAAGAAACGTCCAGTTGAGACCAAAACACCAAACTGAAAACTTTCATCATCCAGAAAAAATCAATAAATGGAAATTAATGAGTTTGTTTTCATTTATGAGGCGATTAATTGAATTATTTCTTTTGAGAAGCAATAATTTATTGCCTAGAAGAGTTTGCTTTGTCTTGTTTCAGGGTCTCTGTGGGTCTCTGGACTCTGTGGGTCTCTGTGGGTCTCTGTGGGTCTCGGTGGGTCTCGGTGGGTCTCGGTGGGTCTCTGGACTCTGTGGGTCTCTGTGGGACTCTGTGGGTCTCTGTGGGTCTCTGTGGGTCTCTGTGGGACTCTGGACTCTGTGGGTCTCTGTGGGACTGTTCCACCCCGTGTTGTGTCGCTGTTTGCGCCTGCTGTTAACATGCAGCTCCACATGCGGCCGTCTCCAGTGGACGGCCCACATTAACATGCATCTCTGGTGTCCACTTGTGAAGGTTCCTACCTTTCTACTCTAAATGCAAATAAACACAACAACCAGGCAGCTGTTAGAGGCGGCGGGTCGGCTGGGGGGCGCTTGTTCTCAGCGTATCGCGTGGCGTTCCCCGGACGGCGATCGGCATTCCTGATGGCGTTCTGGGAACACCTGAGTGCCGCTGATAGCAGGATTTTGACAAATATTTCTGTGGCTGTTATTTGAAACGTGTCATCTGGGGGAAAGGTGTAAACAAAGCAAGAGTCCATGAACTGATTGATTTGAGCTCCCTGTGAGCGGATGTGAGCCGACTGGAGAAAATGAGCTTTTTGAACTCAGTTTCTGCGTTGGGAAGAAAAACCGGCAGATAAAATTTCACCTGGCCTGCAGCAGATCGATGTAGGAATCACAGAACTCAACGGCTTTTACAGGTTTTATCTCCACACACAATGACAATCTTCATAATTTGTGGATGTTTGAGGCTTAAAATGTCTGCATGTGATCAGACGGCTGGCAGATCATTAAGGGAGAAAAACTGACTTTGATCAAACATTAATGTTCTGGTTTAAAGGTTAATGTTCTGGTTTAGGTTAAAGCAGAACAATTATAAACAGAACTGGGAGCCAAAGCAACGTTTCTGAAGCTCCTCAATAATCTGGGATTATAGTCTGAAGTTCAACTTTCTGTGGTCTGAGAATGAAGCTCAGAAATTACAGAAAAACACTTTAACATGCTAATTTTGATAGACGACATTTAAAAAATTTTTTTTTTTGCATGAAAATGTCTTTTTGTTTGCTGCGTTTGTGTCCGTCTGTAAATCTGACTGATTTCTGCGTCCTAATCTCATTGGTCGCTGGAGAAGACTGAAGTTGAGCTAACAGCAGTTAGCATGTCGCTGAAGCTGTTCAAGCCTAAAATAGCATCTCAAAGCATCTTCACATCCAAAACACCAGGAAAGAAAAACATGTTTTTAAAGTCTTTTATTTTCTACTTCATATTTTTACTGAGCTTTATTTGCTCAAATAAGGAAGATAATCCCATAAAGGACAGAAAAATAAAATACTTTTACTTAATGAACTCCTGATATTTTTGCCAGTGTCTTTCTTTCCTAAAGTATTTACATTTTTCTTTTACTTTTAAAGTAAAACTTTTAAAATGTCTTTTTTCATTTGAGCTAAAATGACGTTGCAGATTATTGATCGGCTCTGATGTGATCAGAAGTTTAAAGAGAATAAAAACTGTTCTGGTTTCTGGGGAAGAACAATCCTCCTCCCATCAGGCCTCCGATTCTCCGCCGCATCGACTCCTAATCGGTTCTGCAAACAAAAACAGGCAAATATCACTTCAAGCTTTAATGTCTGTTTCAACTGAGAGACTTTAAAATGTTTGCAGCAGAAACTTTCAGTAATTCAGCCAGGATTTGTTTTCTGGCTTGAATAATTAAGCAGGAACCAGTTTGTGTCGTTTCCGACGCCCCAGCGGAGCGGCGGCTGATGAACGTTCCCACCGGTGAGCCGCGACGCCGCCACTCTGACTGCCGCTGGCCCGCTTTTCCCAGAATCCCCGGCAAACCGCAGCTGGAGGAGTTTTCACTGATTTGATGGAGGGAGGAGGAAGTGTCGGGTTCAGGGACTGGATCAGAACCCCAGAGCTCAGAGCGCCACATGCGCTCGACGTCTCCAAACGTCTTCCACCGTGATGAATGACGCCGCTGCGTTCCCACGGCATCATGGGAAATCACTCCACAGAGACTCTGGAGCGGTTTTACCCTCGCTGTGAGGAAAACCAATCCTGCCAAAATGGATCCGATCTTCTCGCTCTTCTAATCAGCTGTTGGAGAAATCAACGCGTTTCTGCTGCGTTTGCTCCCGTTCCTATGAAGATGTCAGAGAAACGTCTGGAGATGCGGCAGAAACGCGGCGCCGTGTTTGTGGGCGGAGGCTGCTGAGATTAATGGCGCCGGGAAGGAAAGTGACAGAAAGAGAAATGAGGCGAACGGAAGATAGAGAGGAGACAGAAGCAGGAAGTGTTTGTGTTGTTGTGAATGGAAGCGGAGAAAACGCTTCTGCACAGCTTCATGGAAACACAAATGATCAAAAAGTACAACTCAACGCTTACACAGAGGTTAAAGTCTAGTTCTGTTTGTTTCTGAGCACTCAGAACTTTGACTAGGCCATTCAGACAAAACAAGAGTTCTTTGTGTTTTTGATTAAATCTGGTTTCAGTCAAATTCAGCTTTCTGTATTTTTACCTTCCTAATATAATCGATGAAGTTGTTGTTGGCCAAATGTAATTTTTCTTTTTACCAAATCATCTTTTGGAAATAAAGATGGTTTTACTTTTTTAGTTCAGTTTCATTGGATAAATTCTATTTATCCAATGAAAAATTGGATAAAGCCATGCTTTCCTGTATGAACTTTGACCTTTGGCCTGTTAACTGAGCCTCTGATATCTTTGCTGATTTATCAGCTCTACATGTTTGACCTGCTGAGTCACTTTTAGCTGATTCTGCATTTTGTGGCTGGAAGTGAAATGAAAACAAAGAACCATTCAGTCGTTCTCCTTCATTTAGCTCAGACACTGAGAGAAAAACCCATTTGCAACAAACCCGCTGAATTTCACCAGGTGTTTCTGACTTGACTTCAAAACTAACTAATGTTGATTAAAGTGACTCATTTCCTGTTTTTAAATGACTTTGTTTCATACTTGTAATGTTCGCTGGTTTTGTAGCTGTCGGTGTTTTTAACCTTTAAGTCGTTTATTTTTGATGTAATTATGAAAGTGTTGGTTGTGACTCATCAGTCAGCAACGTGGCAGAGAAACAGTCATTATTATTCTGAATGAAAACCTTTTGGATAAACTGGGTTTAATGGAGGACAGGAAGACGGAGGGCGAAACACAGAATATCATAATTCATTTTCTCATGACATGCATGAGACAAGGTTGCCATGCTAATGACACCACTGGGAGGATGATGCATATATCTTTTATTATTAATATTTCTGGAAAAAGCTGAAATAGTAAAGCAGCTCTGCGTCGCGTTGCTGTAAATACATAATAGATCAGCTGCGTTGTGCATTATTGAGCCGCGTTGGAGTCGGACGTTTGAAGCCGGAGTGAAATGTTCGCATTGTGCGCGGCGCATTAGTGGGGTTGGAGTTCAGACAGCCGCGATGCTCTGGCAGCTTTTATTGATGTCAGAAGAACCACAGAGATCAGCGTCTGACAGCAGGACGGATCTGCAGCTGCAGCCCTGCAGACATTTATTCAGATCTGTTCAACACACAGGTTTTACAGTGCAGTGTCAGGCCTTGATCTTGTTGCTGCAGTGATGGTGGCAACTCAGCGTGTCGAGTTGCTCCAGCCTGCCGTGTTTACAGTACTGCAATTGGAAAAAGATTTAAATGTGCCATGAATGCTAACGGGCTCTAGCGGCGTCCATGTTTTCAGGAGCAATAATGAAGCTGAAATTGAATAAAATTACAGTTTGACATTTTGAAAATAAATTTACTTCATAGAAACAAGACAATTAAAAAAAACTTGCTTTTGATTCAAAAATAGTTTATTGGCTGTATTGAAATTGGCTTATTTTGTAATATTACAATGGAAACACTTGACCGAAACAGGATGTTACTACTGGCGGAGACGTCAAAGAAGACAATGACAGGAAGTGGAGGATGATGACGCTGCATGTTTTTAATGACTTGTCATGTTTACAGATGTATTCATGTGTGATTTTAATTGAAGCACATCAATTATGAAATCGTTTAGCTTTTTGTTTTGTGCAGATT